AGCACACCTGTTCAGGGAGCTGACTGTGAAATACTGTTTCACATGTGCGTGGCCATGCATATTTACATAGATGACATTTTACTGTGTGCATGCTTAGGAGGGTGTGTGTGTGTGTGTGCGTGTGTGTGTCAATGTGCAGTAAGTGTGCGCACGTGTCATAAAAAATGGAGAAGGCTAAAGTAGGCCAGCGGTTCACGGCGCCACATGAGCTTGAAGGAGACATCTCCCTTCCCTCCCACGCGGCCTTCCACTTTGTCCTCCTCTCCTCTCCTTTCCTCCCCTGTTTTTCTCCCCTGTTACCTCCCCCCCATCCCTCAAGCCATTATTCTTCCCTGTTGTTCGTCGGACTCTTTTGGAGATTGACGAGCAAAAACAAGACAGCGGTACGCTTTGAATTATCATAAACTCCCTCACATTTGTAACCATCGGATATATCTGCTGTCATTTATTCTCCGCTCTGGGACTAAATTAAGCATCTGAGCGACAACGGGCGGGATGATAATCACGACGACACTGACAGAGACGGTGGTGGTGATTATGATGATTATGGTGACGAATCGGGACAAACATTTGCCGCCGCATCTGTTGTCATCCTCGAGGATTGATTTGCACAATCTGTGGACTGAGAACGTGTTGCAAATTGTGAAGGGCAAATTTGTGATTTGGTGAATACTATATTAAGAATGGCCGAACGCGTTTGCTTGTGGGCCGTGAACAAAAAGAATGTGAGGAGTCACGGGGGGCAACTGTTTATTTAAAAGGTTTTACTGCAGGAAAATCTGAGTTTCTGAAAGAGAAAAGAGAAGAATTCTGTCAGGATAAGTAACACTTTTGATGATTGATATTGGACATCAACCTGTTAATTTTCTTAGTGATGGAAACCTTCCAAATCCGTCACAGTGAGAGCCATCCAACCAATGCTCCATGAAGGCAAAGAATTACAAGAGGTTCATGTAAAGATGCAAATGCACGTACATGAATCTTTCCACATACAGTTTTGCACAAACATTCACAGAATTAGGTAAAATTCTTCGTTTATGTGTATGCCAACTTAGACAAAAGTGAATTGCTCTTTGTGAATCACTGATTTTACACTAGTAGACCTCAACAAATATTAAAAACACACACACGGTTGGCCTGTTTCACCATCCACAACATGCTTGTTTGCACACTAGCAACAAGTTTTAAATGCTATGTACAGTGTGATTGAGGCTGTATGTATTTAGCACCTTTTTTAAGGACTGAAGTGAGGGGGGTACAAACTGTTTATTTCTGCTCTGGTTATCAAGCACAGCAGGCCGGCGCTTCTCGCTGAAGGAAAGACAATAAAAAAAAGAGAAGCGGTAAAAGAATATTAATAGAAACGAAGCAGTTGAAAAAAAGGGACATTGTTGCTACGAGACAGGAATCGTAGTTTCGTTAGTGTTTATTTTGCAATGACTTCCACCATGATTTGTGCATGTTGATTCTAAATAAAAGGTCCCATTGTTTCCAACCAGGAGGGGCGAGACTTTGGACTCTACCGTATATGTGGAATTCATAGAATGTAAAGCACAGGTTTAAATAATCAAACATATGAGCCGACGCAGGCGCTCGAGGACTTGGCTTGACCTGTGGATTTTGACTAACATCTCTTACTGGAGGAGAGTCTTTCTCAGCCGATGTGTAGCAGAAGAGTGGTTACAAAAACTCTCATTTCCACACGGGTAGAAAACGACAAACAAGCTCCAAGGCCAGATTCTGTTCTTGTTACCATAATTATACCATCATCAGGAAACAGCAATCAGGAAACATTTATTACCAAAATATGTCAGACATACAAGGAATTTGACTTGGCGGTTGGTGCGTAACAGCAGACAGTTAGACAATGCACAACAAGACAGATACAGAGACAACAAAATAAAATAAAATATAAGGCTATGCCTACAATCTTTTTAGCACGCTTCAGGGTCCGGGGAGCGAACGAGTCCTGGAGAGACGGCAGGTTGCAGCCAATCAGCCTCTCGGCAGAGCGGATGATACATAAATGCATATAGGTCATAAAATGACTGCAGGTCTGCTGTTTTACTTGAACACCGGTGTATTGTGTTTGTGGGTGAATGCCTGAATAACTTTGAATTGGCAGAAATTTGATCCAGGAACAGATCACTCTTTTCTGATATAAGAGGTGTATAGTTAATCTATCTTGTGCAGGTGTTAACATCAACTAAAAAACTATCTTTCCGCTGCTTTATTGTTTCTTTCCGGCTTTGTTGTGATTGGCTAGAAAAGCTCTTACAAAATAGTTAAACAATCCATGAGAGAGCTTTGTTCAGAAAGTAATGGGTCCAAGCCGCTGCTTTTTCTCCCCTATTTTCTGGCAAATGAAAAAGAGAAGTGGTTCTTTGCTTCATGTTTTTCTATTCCTTTAATCAATTAAAAAAAAAAGATCAAATAATATGTTTCTTGCAGTAAGTACAAATTAGTCACAGAGTTTGAAGAAAGAGCAAATACTCTTTCAGGCATGACATATAAGTACAACAAATTGGCATTTTCTAGTCTGCAAACCAGCTTTTACAGCACATTTGTGAAGTCAAAGGTGAAAAAAAGACTTGTCATTGGGAAAGGAGCCAAACACCCCCCTTTTAACATCTTTGAATCCGATGCAAATGGAAGTGAAGGTGGGGGGGAAGGTGGGGCTTTATGTTTTTTAAACAAAAAAGAGGGATTATATTGCCCCTAATCCATGTGTTGATGAGCACTGTACCCTATTTAATATGAGCAAAACGGTCTGGACGGTCACAACAACAGCGCGTGACCCTCAATCGGGCAGCATAGCTGTACATTAATTAAATACTGGAACACACCCCACGGCCGTATAGAATTAGGGCTGTGTATACAGGGAGCTTTTATTGTGAAATGCGAGGGGGTCTGCACCACCTTTGATGAAGTTGAAAGGAGTGATGAAGTCTCTTAACCGTTGTGTTTAGAGGTTGGTTTGGTTCGATTGGACGGACGACGCCACCGGAGGAAATGTGCCCTGAAAGTTCCTAACAGATGTCATGACTTCTGTTATTGTCTCTGTGAGCGCTGCCGTCGGCTCACATCGGCATCACACCGAGAAATAGATTTAAAAAACAACAACCGTCCAGTGAAACCAGATAAAAGCAGGAATGAGCAGGAAGGTCATCATTTGGAATGTGATCCCATTGTGCTCATGAGGAATATGCTGCCGGTTGTTTGGGGGCAGAAAGACGAATAACAGGTGCACGGTAGTTGTACACACTTACACGCCGTCTTCCGTGTGCTGAAAGACGTGTGCGCTGAAAGACGTGTGCGCCTCTGCCAGAAAAGGGACCATTTTTTAATGTGATTTTAAAAAAAGCCACCAAAAATGTCCACTTGACCTACTTTTCACAATTCGGCGAACACATTTCTTCTATTCCACTAAACATTTCGGATTTGATTTTGTTGGCATTGCAATTTTTCTCACATGTACATGTACACATCAACAACCATGCACACACACACACACACACACACACACACACACACACACACACACACACACACACACACACACACACACACACACACACACACACAGAGACACACAGAGACACAAACATCTCCTGTTGTCCAGCCACTCTCTCTTTATGCTTTTTGTGTGTGTGTGTGTGTGTGTGTGTGTAAGAATGCCCACGACCCCCACCACTTGGGGCCCTTGGGCATTCATCCCCGTGTGCATCCCCCAATCCCTCCCCAATGCCCCCCCCCCCTCTCTTTCACCCAGACACCCCACACCCCCCTTCCTCCTCCTCCCCTCTTTTGTTTGCTTGCCATTATACAAAGCTTGTTGTTTTGACGGCATCAAACAACACTTTGTTATTACATAACCGCAAACTGCTTCTGAAACACACACTCACACACGCACACACACACACACACACACACGCACACACCCACACGCACGCACACACACACGATGATGCACGGAGGTTAATCTCCTTTGAAAATAAACCGATTTCCCTTGTGTGCACCAACACTAAGATGAAAATGACTCAAAAGTTTGAGAAGATAAGAGTTGGAGGACGAGGCGGAGTGATGTGTTTCCAGGGACATTTGGGGGAAGGGGACAGGGGGGAAGGAGACGGATGGAGGAGGGAAGTAAAGGAGGAGGAGGAATAGAAAGGAAACGATATTTTGTATTTGTAAGTAGGAGAGAGGACAAACTTTTCTAATCCAGATAAACGGGAAACAAGATTTTAAAAAGTTGTTTAAGATTAAACAAGTTAATATGAAAAAAGTCTGAGAAAGAGAAACAACTGAGGAAAGGAGGGATGCTTAGGAAACAAGATGGTTAGGAAACATTGTGGGAAAGGAGCAGCAGGGTGGAAAAAAGTACTATCATAACTGCTGTTATGATGAAAACAAAAGCAGAAAACAGTAAGAGAAAACATCTGGAAAAGAGGGAGAAGGTGGTAAAAAGGATTCAGGAGTTAGGAGAGGAAAAGGGTTTGACAATTTTTATGAGGAATCGTTTGGGGAAATGAAAGAATGGATGGAAGTTTGAAACAAACGGACGGACGGAATGGAGGAGAAGAAGAAGAAGAAGAAGAAGAAGAAGAAGAAGAAGAAGAAGAAGAAGAAGAAGACGTCTGGACCATGGTGAGATTTTCGGTGGGGGATCGGAAGAACATGTTTTGCAAAAAAAAACAAGGGAAGTAAAATGTTTAAAAAGAGTTAAAGAAAGTTGAAGAGGAAGATGAGAAGAAAATGTCCGCCGATGGAGCAAAGAGGACAACAGTTTCTTTTGCTATTAAAAGACTAAAACAGAGAAACAAGTTCTAAGGAAAAGGAAAGATGGAGAGGAGGAGGGACGCGTCTTAGGAAAAGCGGGGAGGAGGGATAAAGGGGCGGGTGGGGGTCACCAAACAACCCTCCTTTTGCCCCCCCCCCCCCCCTCCAGAAGATGAGAAGGCTTCCGCGCGCGCTGCACTCCGTCGTGCGTTTTGTTCCCCTCTGAAGTGCCCAAAAGCACCGAGTCCGACCGAGCCCAACGAAGACGAACCGAACCACCCCCCTTCTCCGCCCCCACCCGAACCCACCCACCCCCCACCCCCACCCTCGCCTCGCCGCTCTGTGGCAATGGAGCCGTAGCCGAACATCAGTGCGCTTAAGTGAGCCGAGTGCGCGGAGCGGCGACGGACCGGAGGAGACAGCTGAGACCGAGCGGCGATGGAGGCGCAGCGCAGCGAGGCTGGAGTCTAGACTGCACGTTCAACCAATCCGAACACACCAACGGATTACTTTTTACACGCCATTTTTTTTGAACTCTCAATATCACTATTAGAACAGGACCCCCCCCACCCCCCCCCTTTTTCTTTCCACATCATAATATTGCTGTATCGTTGCACGGCGAGGATGCAGGGGAAGGAGGCGAGCTTTTGCACAGGATGCTGGAGACTAACGCTGCTGTCGTGCGTCCTGGCTCTGCACCTGGTCCCGCTGTCGGTCCACGGTAAGAAACGGCCCCTAACGGTGAAAGAAAAAAAAAAAAAGCTTGATTTCTTGTAATTGTTTGGTGGCTGCAGCAGCACCTCCTCTCTGTGGGTTCGAGGTACCTGAACCCACTTCCACAGTCCGAGTGGAGGTCAGTGAGGCTCGATGATAGAAGGCATCTCATATTCAACTGGTATCGGTTGATTATTCTGTGACATTCTTCTACACGTTCTATTGAATTCACGGTCAATGAAACGGAATAGAAAAAAAAACAGATTACGGAGAATCAGCTCTCAAAAATGTGAATACAACACATTTTTTTAAAGGATAGTAAAGCAAACATTGGCTAAATATCAAAATCAAGATTATTCAAATCTTTATAAGAATCTTCAATGAATGCATAAGGGACACACACGTGTCATGATTGACCAATTAGTACACACAATTTTACAGATGACACTGAAGCCAGAAAACAAAACTGGGTCACAATGAAGAGACAAGTAGACAATCTGAGCCCTTACGGACATTACAGAGACCACATAGGAGGTAACAATGAGGTCAACGTGAACCCGCTGGACACCAGAGCCACACACTGTAGAATCAGGACAACAGATGAAATATCATACGATTACACAGTCAAATGAGTAATGATATCATCACAATATCCATCATATGAACCTACGGCTGCCTGGATGCTTTTATTACAGACATTCTGATTGTACAGCATTGGGAGGAGGGATGTGGGGGGGGGTTAAAAAGACAGCATTCAGCTCGCTGCACTAACCGAAGGGATAAGAGCTTACAGGGACATTTTAAGAGCCGATCAGACGTCTAAATCAACACGAGCTATTGTCGTCGGCATTTGAAGCCCCAGCAGAAGAAATCACAGAGATGTGTGACAGTGACAGCGTCCAGCCCGACGCAGTAAACCAGATCCCCGCCACAGCCACACAAAGGCGAGGATTAGGGCCGGGGGGGGGGAGTTTATGAATAATTCATGAAGGGGATCTGGACGGACATTCTGATACACAGAGAAAGAGAGAGAGAGAGAGAGAGAGAGAGAGAGAGAGAGAGAGAGAGAGAGAGAGAGAGAGAACCCCAACAGGGTAAACATAAAACAAAGACACGTATAGGCTCTCGTCCTCTGGCTCGCCATCCCTTTGTCTAAGATTCATTGCGCACAGCGGCCCACATTACTGTCAGATTATTAATGCAGGAACGTGCACGGGATGAAATCAGTCTGCCGTTATAATCCGATATAATCTGGCCGATTCTTTTCATGGCACTGGCTGCCGTTCATGCAGTGTGATTTAGAATCGAAGTGACCCCCCCTTGAAAAAAAAAGATATTTTCATTCATTTCATTTGTGTTTAATCTGGAGTTTGGAAGAGGGTAAAAGCGTCCAGGAGTGGAAGATCCAAGAGAAACGAGCCAAATATTTAAGGATGTGGATCACTGATCAGTGTGGGTCCTTTCTGTCTTCAGCCGCTTCTGTTTTCCTTTCAAATTAAATGAGGGTTTCTTCTTTTCTCGGAACAAGTGCATTTGTTCTTCAGGTATAATGTAACATGTGAAATGTCGATCACAGGATGAATATATGCACATTTGGGAGATTATTTGGCGGTTTGTAGGCTAAATCTCTAATTTCAAGTCTTCTTCAACTCAGCATGATGTTCATTTAGTAACTAATTGTCAATTTAGAGTCAAATAGACCTAAAGCCGGGGGTGCTTTAGGGCGGGAGTCCTGTGATTGACAGGTCTCCCCCGGAGCGGTACACCGCGTTTCCACTTCACTCCTTCGCATTCCAAGTGTGGTAACTTCCATTTATTGGTCGGGACAAAAAAACAACATGGCGATGGACGTAATCCAAGATGGGGCCGAACTCCTGTCTTCAAACCGTCACTCAACCAACCAATGGACGACGTTGCGATGACCACGTCCACTTCCTAGTCAGTGTATGGTTTGAGATTGTTAGGGATTAAACTTCTCCTCGGGCCGGCGCTGGTTGTCTTCCGGGTTCTCCGCCCTCCTCCAGGCAAAGAACACGGGTTCAGTTCAGCAGTGACTCTCTTCAGCCTGCAGGTGTTTCTCTATTGATTTTGCTTTACACGAACGCAATACGTTTGAGAACATTTTCCTCTGAAACACCAGGCGGCGTCGATGCAACCTTTAGGGATGGCTTTTGAATGCTTTTACCCGAATGCTCCGGCTTTCACTCAGAACACAATCGTACAGTAATTTTACCTGAAACGTGACCAGTTTCACACTGTCGCCCATGCAGCAAATGCAGGAAGGGACTTATGTGTCTGTCTAACGGGTGTAGCTGATCAATAGATGTATAGATGGATGGCCTCTTGTTATAGTCTCTTAAAGAATTTAAGTGTGAAAGCATCAATTTGCCTTTATGATGTTTACGCGCTGGAGTATTTCTTTGCTCTGCGTGGTGATGCCTCGGATTCTCTGTAGCTGTTGGCCAGAGAAAGACTCGGAGATTCATCCTCTGGGGAACATGAACGTCTGTGAAAACTTCCAAAGCAATCCGTTCAGCAGTTGCAGGAATATTTCATCCTGGACCCGATCGGTGTACAAGCTCGCAGACATGCTGGCATTATTAGATTCATGCGATTGCCGAAAAGAAATATGGAGAAATCTTCAATATGTGCGAAATCAATACAGGAAATCAGAAAAATAAATATATCTTGTCTTCACATCTGCTCACCTTTGAGCGCTCATTAGCGCTTCATAACTCCGCTTCAGGAATAATTGTGTCCCTTTTCGTTGATGCTGCAGCTGGAAGGCTGTCTCTGACAGCTCAGGTGGATATTTAACGAAAAAGAGGTTGGCAGATCTGGTGCAGACGCCTTAAAACCCCCCAGGGCTAATCCACCTCCCCGACCCCCTTCTTTCCACACACACACACACACACACACACAGTTCGTTTGGGTTCATTGGTGAAGCGGGGCAGCGGCAGCTCGCCCCACATCTGTGAATGTTGCCCAGACCGCCGAGGCCAATCGCCCTGACTGGAACGCCGTCAGTCATTACCCGTCGGGCTTTATTCCTCCGGTGGCCATTTGCAATTCTCCTCCATCCGTGTGGCCGCCCCTCCTGTCCTCGACTTCCCCCCCCTAAACCCCCACGCACGGCTGAGCTGGTAGATAGGTGACGACGGACTGGTGAATCTTCTTTGATGCCCTTCGTCTCCCCCCTCCTCCTCCTCCTCCTCCTCTGGCCTGCTGACACATATCTGCTTGCTGGCACATTATCTTTGATGTGCAGTGGGTTCATCTTCCAGCCAAAGTCCTCCCTCCGTGACTCCGCTGCTAACCCAATCCAGACGTTTAAAGAAACGCATGTGCAGAAGTCAATAGCAAACCAGCGGTAGCGATTAATGCCGTCTGCAGCTCTGCTTATGGGTGAACAATGGCTTCCAAGTCTCTCCCCTGCGCCTTCCCTGTCGTCATGGAAACCGCACACCATCCACTGACGCCGGCTCAGCTGGCGGAACAGTGTCGTCGGATCGCCGCCAAAATGGTCTTTCGCGCTTTGAATTTAATTAGGGCCCGAAAATGTTGGTTGGATTGGCCAAGTTTGGTGGCTCTACGCCTACTGACCATACACGTGTGTGTGTGTGTGTGTTAACACCCACTGTCAATGTAGTCCATCATCCACCAGCTTTAAACTGTAGATGATATCATTGTTGGTACTCGTGTATTCGTCATATCTACATAATGAGTTTTTGGCAGATGAACTCACTTCACTGTCGGCAGTGCAAATACTGTTTTGAATCCGGATTTAACATCCAAGAAGGGCAGATGTGATGCAGCGCAGCAACGACAGAAACGCGCTGCAACCAAACAGGATGATGTGTCACTATGGTCGTTAACCCCACCTCTTAGTTTAAAGGCTGATTGTAAAGTGAGCTCGGTTCGATCAATAATAATGACTCCAGTACCCTTAATGAATTGGTTTCTTTTTATTTTAAAAACTTTTCTGTGTGATAAATCAGGGGGGTTCAATGCCAATGCCAATGCGAGTATCTCAAACTTGTATTCTTTTTTTGGACATTGTAAACATTGCGATCATGACTTAATGCTCTCTGCTAGTTTCAAGTGTTCTTCAATACAGCACGTTTATTAAGTAAATTATGATCTATTTAGAGTTAGACACCATCAGGCTCTGTTGTTTTCTTCTTTGGGCAACTGTAGATATTTACATACACACATATTGTGTGTATGTAAATACTCATTTTAATATAAACTCAACAATTCCTCAATTGAATGACAACACATAACATATTCCATTCTTGCAATAAATCCCCTAATCTCTACTCACTGCACCTGTAAGGAGGTGTCGCTTGGTGCAGATGTTTCTCATCATCGGTGTCTGTGTCCAGGTGCTTTTTCTCGCCGCCTCTCCGACCCACAGGTGTGACAGTTGTGTGTCATTGTCGCCGTCCTCGCCGCAGGTGCAGAAGGTCATCGAACGGGCCGCCAAAAAGTTTCACGTGCGGCCTGACAGCTTCGGTCCTTGAAGGATGAAACAATTAGTGTACAGTGGTGTGTTGGCTTTTTTGTGTTTTTTATTTTAGCGCTGCTGAGTTGGCGTTCTTCTCAAACTCTGGGTGCCCTTGAACAGTAATTTACATGTTTGTGCGCGTGTGTTCAGGTTGTGTGTGCGTGTGTCTGAGAGAGAGACACGGTGAAAAAAAAGATGGAAGATGGAATATGAAGCACATCTTTTTTTCTTTGTGGGTAGGCTTGCACCTATCTGTGTGTGTGTGTGTGTTCGCTACGGTGCGTCTTCATGTCAGCGTGTCCTTGGTGAAGCGAGTCATTGAGTTCATGCTCACACACGAGCGCCCCTCCCCTCTCAGTGCTGCCTCCCCAGCCCTCTTCTTCTTCTTCTTCTTCTGCTGTTGCTGCTGACATATCACCATTCTGTCCTCCCATATATATATATATACATTGTTCTTGTTCATGAGCACACAAACACACACAAACACACACAAGATGCACGTCTTTCCACCTGATAAATGCATAGCTCTTCAGTTTAAAACAGGTTATTATGTCGTGTTGCATGACTTTTTTTTTTTGTGTGTTTAATATTTGCCGATGCAGATCTCGTCTAGCGAGGCCGAGAGCGTTTCTATGGCAACACATCCTTCCTCTCTATCCCACCACCTGTGGAGTAAGAAATGAAAGGGATTTATGTGATAGAAGGAGAAAAAAGAGACAGGAATGCTTAGAGAAAAGGGGGAGGGGGTGGTGTCATTGCAGAGGTTTTCAATTAGCCGAAGGCAGATGTTCGGGTTTCCTCCTTATATCTATGTTATTGAGCACCGTTGAGCGAAGGTATAAAAATGGTGCGTTTTTATACTTTCGCTCAGCGTTAACATTGATTTTTCCCAAGTGAGCGAATGAAAAAACAGAAGTGTGTGTGTGTGTGTGTGTGTGTGTGTGCGGTTGTCCTGAGGTGCCGGTATTTGACGCTGAAATCAATGAGATTGAGTCAAAGAGGCTTTTGCTTAATATATACAATGTACATTAAATATATATAAAACCCCAAACAGATAAATAGATAAACAGATAAATATAGCGCATATAGTATAGTGCATAAATATTGTTTCTACGGGAGCTAATAGTTTTCTTTTGTTTCCCATCCCGCGTCCAACCTTTCCCCTTCTCCGTCCTGTCTGGGTCAGTAAACTGACTGGCGGGCCCTAACTGTCACAACCAATCAGGTTCTTCTTTACGGTTTGTCACAGTCCCCCTCCCGCCCACCATATTCCTGCACGCCGCTCCCTAAACTGGTCTGGGTTGAACAAAAGGCGAGGGGCCGAGGGTCGGCGGCTCGCCAGCGCAGGCTAGCAGCACTTGGCCTCGAGGTGCCATCAACCCCGAAACAATCAGTCTGACACACACATGCACACAGACACACACACACACACACACACACACACACACACACACACACACACACACACACACACACACACACACACACACACACATACAGAAATACAAGCCAAACTCTTCTCATTATGACCATGCACACCCTTCACCAGAGGAGCTGAAGGCCAACCCAATTACCAGTGGGTGATACTGGCAGAACGACAACACGCACATAAACACACACACACACACACACACACACACACACACACACACAAATATAAACAGACGTGCAGTTTGAGGAATCGTCTTATGTAATACTTTCTGATCATCTCATGATACGTGGGAGGAAAACAAACAAAGGCGCTTTTATTCCATCAGTTTTGTGGGCTCGACCGGACCCCGACCCCGCTAGCTGACGAGTCGCCTGCCAGGAGTCTAACTCTGGTCCTTGTTGGTTTTTGCCTTAAATGCTCTTAGAAACAACCCGTTTTGCTCTTTTATTGAATCACTTTGTGGCGTCAGAACTTTTCTGGACTTTGTGTTCCAGAACGGATCGCACCAACTCTGTGAATTCTTAGTTGGTCGCCATAGCAACATGGAGTGAAACATTGTGTTTAACGGGACATTCATTCATTGGCAACCAAAGAGAGGAAAGTCTGCACTTCATTGTGCGAGGTTGGGTTCCAGGCTGCCATTTAATATCAAATGTAGTGTACGGTATCCTACATAATACTACTATCAAAGAAAACCACGGATGAATTATTCATTCTGTAAAGTAAGAAGTGGTAAAGCAGTAATTTTCCTATTTTTTTACGATGTTTTTCTCTCTTTAGTGGCATTTTGGTCAGTTTATGAAAAATCTCTCTGCAAAACAGAATTGAAGTATGAAATGAAAAATATGAGGCCTTGAATTTGTTTAAAACCTCTCTTTGCTAAAGTATTACTGCCTTTAATGAGGTTAGGTATACTTTCTGCACAACCCAAATGATCTGAACAAGAAAAACATTTTTTTCTTGTAGTAAACTTCTTTCATAAACTGTAAAATAATATCATGAGGAAGAATATGTTCCACCTAGATACATAAAGACTTTATTTTGGCATCTTTTGGGCTTTGTGCAACGCTGAGAAATTTACTTTCTAGAGCTCCTGAACCAGATGTCCGTCACAACATTTCTTCTCGTTAGTCCAATTAAACCAACGAGGCCGCGAAAGGGAGACAACTGGGCTTAATTGGAGATGCACAGTGAGGCTGCTGCAGACTGACACCTCTGAGGTCTCCCTTCTCAGCAGATCACCTGAGCCCTGATGTGTGCAGCTTCCCGCGCACGTGTGTAAAATAGACCTTTACCTAGCGAGTGTTTTGCCACCAGGTCTGTGCGTTGATGTGAAAACACGAGGGAGAGACAAAGCCGACGAGCCGTGAGGACGCGTGTTTGGGAGGGAGTGAGGTCTGAGGTCCTCCTGGTCTCAAGCATCCAGTGCGTAAGATGCTTACGTGTGGTTACAGAAAAGCCTGTAATTTATGTGCTCGTGTGAACCAGAAATGAATTCTGGGACTGCCGCAAGGATTAACCCCGGGACGACCTCGGCTGCAAAGACACGGCTAGCTGCAGCTTCGCCAAAAAGAAGCCAAACGGAGGCCGTGCACCTGTCAAGCGCCTCATGGCCTAAGTGTCAGCTTCCCACCTAATGATGACGTTTTTCTCCATGCATTAATGAGGAAAATACATCAGTGTAAAGTGAGTGCGGATTTTTCCCTGCAGACATGCTCTTCATCGACCACTGTCCTTCATTGGCACATGCTCTTCACTGGCAGGAGGAGCAGCCACTGTCTTCCTCAAGGGCGGACGTGTGTTATTACATCTGATAAGTTATCACTCTCAAACAGAACTAATTTCTTTAAAATGGAAAAGACAAACTGAGCCAAGATGTGCTGTGCAAACGAGATCTGTTTATTTGAGGAGTTTGAGTTTTGCACCGGCCACAGCTGCGTCTACTGATGATTACATCAGGGAATCCTGGGAGAATCTTACTCCCCGCTTTACTTCTATCAGTCTAATAAGAAGCCAAAAATGTGTCTGTCTAAGAAGAAGAAAAAAAACTAGTATCCTCGCTCTGCATTACACAGACATATTTTCACTTTTCAGTCTTTCTGGCTACGAAATTGAAGAATGTATTACCAATACCAATTGTGAAAAAAATTAACAAATATGTGAAGTTGTATCTTGAGTTTTATAATCTCAGGAGATTTAAATGCAGTAGTAGAGAAGAGTTTCTGGAAATCCTCCTCTTCCATTTAAGAAAATCTTATGAGGCCAAGAATAAGGATGATCATTTTTTTCATTACAAATATTTTGTGTTAAAACGAACATAAAATAGACTCATTGGCTTAAACTGCTGTCATCTTTCAAGATGGTTTCCTGTTAGTCCTGCTGATCATAATACACAATGAACTACCCTCCTCGCCGAGGAGGCATTAAGTGATGGACAGATTAAAATCCCACAGGATCATGATCACAGCTTATCTCCGGTCCGCAAAGGTCCTTGCAGATGCCATTTGGGGGAGGCTGTTTACCAAGCTCCTCACTAATACCACAACTACACGGTTCACCGTGGGTGATAAGGGTGGGGATTCAACCCCCAACCCCTGAAACGTGAATCCAAAATGTAAACGTGAACTCGATGAGGCTACTGACAAATGGTGTTCTTTTTATCGTTAATAGTTAAAGTTAATAGGATTTATCTACAAATAGGTGCACTGCTTTTTAATTTTTTTTCACCAAATGCATCGTGGGAATTGCAGTAGCACTGCGAATAGAGGCGTCCGTGTACCGCGTGAAGGATCGTCTCCTCCATGTCAAAAGCTCGCTCACAAAATCGTCGAGACGCTGTCTTGTCTCCTTAAGATCATCGACCCCCCTCCTCCCCTCTTTCAGGGCCCCCCCAAAGTCTCCCGAATCCCTCCCTCTCCAACCCCGTAATCCATAATCCCGGTTGCTCTGCGTTGGAGTACATTAGTGTATTATTCCTTTAATCCAAAGGAGGAGCGGCCGTAGAGCAGCTCTTCTCATGACTCAACGAGCCGCCTTGGGATTAAGTAATCGACCGAGGGATAAGTGTACGGCCAATCACGTCTCGTTTTAATTTGTTTTCCGCCCTTTTGGCCCACTTTGTCTGTCTCGTAATGCAGAGAGGACTTGTGATGTCATCGTGTAGCAGTGGACCAACGGGGTCATGAAGCAAGGGGTTGGAGAATGTCTTTGGAAAGAGGGAAACTGAACCAGTTGGTGATTGTGTGTGTAAACGTCTGTGTCTGTAGTTCAGGTTTATTCTCAACCCCTCAATTGATGAATTTTTCATAGAAACAGTTGCTGCATCTTCTGATGTCGTAGTTTGTGCAGGATCATTGGGGGGGTTCTACTGCAGGGAGCACAGTGGGACATTTTTTTCCTTCAGCTAAATCTGTGTAGCAGCACATACAAATGTTATTAGATTACACAAGAATATCATTACCTCGGATCCAAAGGGAACAATGTGTCAAAATCCGGCTCACGTTGACTCCATTGCAAAAGAACACTTGATATTGAACATATATGTCGCCACATCGCAGACATCCAACATCTGCAATTTATTGATAAAATCTCTGATTGGTTTAAAACCCCCAGCTGGTTTATTGTCTCCCTAATAAGCAACGCTTTCCAATACCTGGAGCCCATTTGACAGCTTGAAGTTTTTCCCTCAGCAGATCGATACAAACTGTTCTCCCAAGGGGGAACATTTTCACCTCATTAAATTAGCTAAAGTTCTCTCCCCGCTGTGTTTCTTTAGTAGAGAACATTTTAGTGCGTTTCGGTCAGAGTGGCTCATGGATCTGCATTCAGGGTTTCACAAATACAGAGAGATTTGTATGAGATTGATTTATATTTTAAGATAGAGAATAAATTCACATTTTAAGGTGTGAAATAAATAACCATGAACACTTTTTCTTTGCGTTCGTAGGAAACGTTGTCGGCACCAACGCCACCGAGCCGGACCGCGCGGCCAATATTACCTCCCATCTCAGTGAGGAGGAGGGGCCCCTCAAGGTGCACGAGGCCGTCGCCACGGTAACCGCGATGAGCAGCCCGGCCAGTCCCGCCACTGCGACCCCAAAGGCGGGCCGGGTCGCCCGCGCCGGCGAGGAGGACGAGCAGAGCAGCGGCATGTTCGGCGAAGCGGTGGTACCCGCGTTGGAGGAAGTTTCCGTCGCCTCTCCGCCCCAATTGAGCCCCGACTCGGCTGAGACGGAGCACCTGTTGCCGAGCAACCCACACCGGGACGTCATGGAGAGCGAGCAGGAAGGAGTAGAGCGTCCGCCGCAAACCGACCCACCTTGGATCCACGCCAAGGACACGGCCGTGTTCGACATGGACCGCCTCTTCACCACCACCACCACCACCACCGCTGCGCCCTCAGCCCCCACCAACCCCGCTGGCCCCGACGTCCTCCACGTCGACTTCTTCGACCCCTCGTCTCGTGGCCGTGGCCCTTGACCTAGCCCCGCCCTCTCCCTCATCGCTGGAACACGAGCTGCAGGGAGGTGACACGACCTCCTGGGCGATGCCGGACAGCTACGACTACCTCACGCCTTACGAGGAAGGCGTGTCCCCCACGGCCGACGAGTACACCTACAGCACCACCACCGACGAGAGCGACGACGACCTCCGTCTCTCCGCCGGGTCCCGACCCAAGCCACGGGTCCCGGGGTCCGGCTCCTTCATCCCGGGGGCGGCGCTTCCTGGAGGGGGAGCTGCGGCGCCAAACACAGGGTCAGACGGGATGGGCGGATGCCGTGTCGGGTTCCAGATGGTGAACAGAAGTTGCCGCTCGCCCTGCGACATGCTGCCCAACTACTGCTTCAACGGGGGGCAGTGTTACCTGATGGAGGGCACGGGGGTCTTCTGCAGGTATGAAGACACAAATACACAGAATACACTGCAGCTACAATGCACGGGACAAAATCATCCAAGTCTTCTAGGTTGTAGTTATCGATATATATCTGAATAACTGATTAAAAATCCTCCTCATTACTTTGCTCAATTTTCATCAGATTAAAAATTTGACATCAGAAAAACATCGCCAACCAATTTGGACTTGGTGCTTCATGATGTAAACATCATGTCACTTGTATCAATGGTTACAATGGTGACATCAAGTGCTCTCGTCTTATCAAGCATCACCTTTCAATGGGCAGATTCACAGAAATGTCACAATTAAGGATCTAAGAGCTAAGAAAATTGTACCTCTAGCTCACACCACCTTATGGGTTTACCTAATGTATTATTAGTTGCGTTAATTTGCCTTAAGACTGTAAATGAAAGTTCAAACTAAGATTCTTTTCAAATCTTGTTCCTTGTTTAAAACTTTCATAAAACAAAGTATTGCAGTTGCGTTCGGCTTTGTCCGTGTCCTTCATTTTCATGTATTATCAATGAGAAGCAGTCAAACAACTTTATTCAAAATAATATGTTGTGTCATCTGACACTCTAGATTTATAGAGCTGCTCCAGTGTTCTGCTTTAATGTTCGGGAACATGTGGAAAAGCTCAAGCACAGAATTAACTTTAAACAATAAAGGCTGCTGAGATTTGTTTTTTCCTTTGCCATGCAAACTGTACACAAAGACGCGTTATGTTAAGAGCAAATCCACGACCGCAGTGACCCTCGTGACTTCATGAACCGCCTTCCAGGCATTGGCCATGGACTCCCGTAATGACGTTCCTCAGTACCCGATCCAATGGGTTCGAATCTAGGTGGTCGGTCAAGAGTCAAAGGGATTAAGGGGAATTGTTTATGAAAATATGCTGTAAATTCTCCCAGGTGGATTCAGGCCCGCTGCACCAGAAGCACCAGAGGGACAAGAATCCACCGCGGATTAAACTTCCCAATCTGTAATGCAAACAGCTACACATCACGTCAGCACGCTGGGATTAGAGCTGCTGCAGAATGGGGGGGGCGGGGGGGCGGCTCTTCCAATAGATTTCATGATTTGTAATACTTTATTTCGGCGGAATTGATGCTGTTTATACTATTTAGGAGAGTGTGACGTGATCGCCGTCAGACCTGCTATTTAGAAGCTACAGCACTGCGGAGTCACTCCCCGTCTGACTTTTAGATTAAAATTGTTTAATGTTGAAATGCTGCACAGTTTGTGAAGCCTTCCAGGGGCAGATTTGAGGCTCTACAAATGAGTTAAAATTAAATAATGTGATTTAAATATAGAGATTAAATGAAAGTGGATTATACAACACGGTTTACAAACTATTGACTCTTGCAATCTCTGTTCCTTCAAAAGTTAACGACAATGCCGCTCTGAGGTGTTTTTTTTGTGCACGTAGAACGCCGGTTTCGCACTTCAAAATATAAAAGATTGTTACGTACATTTCTCGATAAATGTGATACTCCATAAATCAGTGAGAGGAGACTTCGACAGCTGCATGGATTAACATGCAAATGTATGTATCAGTACAATCGGCCTCCTGATTGGAGACGATGGAGGAAATATCCCACCGACGAAGGCTGAGAGGGAAATGGAGCAATGCTCACACAGCAAAAAAAAAAATGTTTAAAATCTTGCTAAGCGGACAACATGATCCAAATATTAGGGGCAGATTTTGAGCCTCGGTCAGCAGATCGTAGCCGTGATGCAGATGCAGAGAGAGAATCGTGAGGGCCGAAGTGAGAGAGGCTGAGAGGCGTTTTACTGCTGGGCAATAATTGCAATGTGGGTCAATGAAGCGCTGGCACAGATGAGCACCAATATGTTCCTCTCTATGTGTGTGTGTGTGTGTGTGTGTGTGTGTGTGTGTGTGTGTGTGTGTGTGTGTGTGTGTGTGTTTGCAGCCACGGTTGTGTGTCTGATTGCACATGTTAAGGCGCCCGTGTGTGTTTGTCTGTGACTGTGTGTGTGTGTGTGTGTGTGTATGAAACTTGTGAGTTCTTGTGTGCGTGCAGCTGAACTGGAGCAGCTTCATACGTCAGGCCAATTCAATTACAACGGGATGAATGTTGGGACCTTTTAGGCCTTTGCAGTAAAGCACATGACCCGCTTTGAACCGCCATTTGCTGACCTCAGACCAGCCTGTCATTTCTCTTATTCTTGCAGGCAGAAATATGTACCTGCAGAGAAATGTCCATGAAACACGATTGCATGTTAGCCTTGAGGCTCTCAGCAGGTAGAGTGTGTATTAGTCGCTGCTTCAGTCAAATAACTTTTAACTAAAGTTGTTTTTGCACAAATTATAACTGTTTTAAATACTGAATTAAGAATTTGTGATTATTTGTACATCACATATATAACTTTGTCAGTGTTCAATAATTGGTTTGGATTTTTTGTCCACAACATTATCTGGATGGCTGTTGGGAAGTTGCACCTGATGAGTATGACACTTATATATTTGATGGACATAGACATGATATAGTTGGATCAATCCACTCAATACTGGTTAATTATTGGTTCCCAATCCATCAATGTATATGTTTATTGATGTTTTACAAACGGCTTCCTGAAATGTAGGTCATCATAATCAAATACCTCATAAATTAAAACGTTAAGGGATATAATTCAGATTCATATAATTAGACAATTTGTTTAATATCTTCAACAACGAAAAAAGAAGGAATTAGAATCCAGCAACATTTGGTATCCTGTGAGGACAGAAGTTTATCTTTCACTAGTTTAAAAACTCCTTTCAATGGTTTTGTTGAGGTTGTGACAGAGAACTGAAGTGATACTCTAAATAGTTGAATTATTACTTCTAAAATCGCTGTTTATTTTTGATAATTATCATAAAACAATGTCTATAATATTCCCTTCCACGGACCCCAAAAAACACCTTTACACCCTTTTTATTCTGTGATATTTCCTTTCCTCTAACTTAAGCCAGCCCATCTCACTGATGTATTTCTCTAAAGCGTCTCGCTGACTAAAAGCATCTGACAGCCCCAACGTCGTAAATCGCTCCCTCCTCCGGAGCTGCACGACCACACTGGGAGAAAAGGGGTTTTGGGGGGGGGGGGGGGGGTGCGTTTGAAGGAGAGGACCACAGACGATGGTGGAAGAAGTCAGATGTTGAGAGAGATAAATAGAGCGAGGGAAGTAAGCAGCGGGAGGGAAGAGAGGAGGAAAAGGAGAGCGAGAAGCTATGAACAGGAAATAAAAGGACAGGAAGGAGTTCGGGGTGGAGGAGAAACTGAGTGAGACCATGAGTCACAACCGTAAAACGCTCGCCAGCATGGAAACGGCCCGGCAGAGCCAGGTCCAGTTTACTAGTGTGCGCGTGTGAGCTTGTGCGTATGTGTGTGTGTGTGTGTGTGTGTGTGTGTGTGTGTGTGTGCTGCAGCTTGATGTAATTAAGGGAAGCTTTCAGCACAAACTGCAGATTGTATCCATTTTAGATTTCATGACCACTTTGTGGACACACTCATGTACTTATTTACAGACACGCATACAGACACACACACACACACACACACACACACACACACAGCACACCACGCAGCAGATTATGTGTGTATTAGGATTACTTCAAGTCAAAAGTGCACGGTCGTACAGTCAGGCCAAAGGTCAAACACAAATTTACAACTGTAGGTCGGTTTCGGACAAAAGACACACAAACGCACAAACGTACACTAACACACATACACACAGCCGTTTTTTTAGAGGTAGTCCTGTTTACACCTGTTTTTGCTAGTTGTTGTCTTACTCAAGAGTAACTCATATACAAATACATTATATACACACACACACATATCAAAAAAGAGAGAAATGTCTTTTTATTCTTGATCTTTATGTGGGTGAGGCTGGATTTTCTGTTAACATTCTGCTGTGATTAACCCCTAAAATATTCAACATAATCACCAAATGTGTCTGCATGCACACGGGAGTGGCACAACCTCTTTGGATCCATTTTTCATACTTTATTGCTGCATCTCTCAGCGTGTCGGTCTCCCTGAGGGCAACGCGAGCATCTATTTGTCAGGTTAAATGGTGTGTTCCCGTCCGACGGCTGTGGTGACTGTGAAGGTCGGGGCCACATCTGCTTCACCGCTAATTAGAGTTCGCAGTTTATCGGGCCGTGAGCGCTCTCTGGGGAATATTTCATCCAGCGCTCTGTCTCGCCATCTCTAAAATAACGACACGTAAACATGACTGTCGTGGTTTGAATCGAGGGCTCTGGCATTCCTGTCTGATCAATTGGACTCAAGGAATGTTTTAATCCAGCTGTTTCAGTACCGATCCCGACTCCAATACCCAGGCTTCGAATATCGGCCAATACCAGCGTTAAATGAATAAGCTGTGTGCCCCTTTGTGTGGAATTGATTGATCATTGTTTGATCATTGATTGATCATTCATCATTGATTGCTTAACTTGCGTTTCGTAGTAAACACAAATGTTAAAAGGATGCAAGGAATGATCTTTTTAAGCATGATACAATGTGCGTTTGGAAAGGAAAACACCATTAAAATACCTCACTAGACTGATATCAAAACCATCCCCTGACAGTTTAGTTCGATTTCACAATTAAAGCCAAATGTTTATTCTCATTACCATGAATACAATTTTAGAAGCCAGTGTGGGTCTGAAAACAACTGAAACCTTTAAAGTAAAGTAAAGCCTCCTTACGACTCTTTTTTATTAGTTGCACATGTTTAGCAAAATAATCTTATACTGTTCTATTTTAACAGTTTTAGAAGCCAAATGAACTAGGAGGCTTGAGCGAATAGCAATTATTTTGTATAACTGCAAAACACAGAGACATTTAGACATTTAGAATGTATGAAACCAGCTGATCCTGCAGAGGGTTAAATCATGCAGTGACGTCTCTATTCAGGCATCTTTCTCTTCTTGAAGCAACACAACTATAAACTTCTCTCCTCCGTCTTCCCTTATTAAATTCCCCAATGAGTCAACTCTCTGTGTTCCACCAACTATTTATCTACCGGGATTTCAAAATAAAATCTATTTTTTTAATCCTGACCAGTGGCTGCCCTCCCCTTCTAACGAGAAGGTTCGCTGTCATTCGTCAGTGGAAGCTTTTGTTTCAGTAGCAGGTGTTTTATGTCCCAAACTCTCCAAAAATGTTCTCAGAGTCCTCTGCAGCATTTTAATCCGCAGCATATTTAACTCGCTTTTTTCTTCCACTCTCTGCAGTTATTGCATAAGAAAATATATGCACCGCTTCAAGGAAGAAAGGTTTATTCCTTCTCCCTTTGACCTTCCAAAGACCTCGTTGAAATGCATTTATCTCCTCTGCTTGGTCTTGGTCCATATGGACCTTTTGTCCAAAGGAATATATATACAAAATTGTTAGTAGGCGGCTGCTTATTTACACATCAACAGTAAAACTCTGTCTCCTTTTAGCTCTGTTTTTTGTCTCTGCTACCTTTAATATCTGGCTATTTAGCTGTTAAATGCTCCACTAAAACCTTCCTTACAACAAAATGACTTCTTGTTTTTTGTATGTCCAGCAAAATTGACGTTTTTTCATGTTTTTTTAAAATAAACTTCTGTCACAAGGAACCATTTAGTTGGAGATAGTCAACAAAACATCTTGGGTCGGTTTAGGAAAAGATTGTAAATCACATTCATGATGCATACCAGGATAGCTGTATTTAGAGTGTATTTTAAATTAAAAAGAACTGTAATCTTACTTTAAGCAGCGTTGATTCTGGTGTTGGAGCAGATGTCAGTATTTTTATTTTTTCAAAATCAAACATTGCACCGCCTGTTCTCTGGAGGCCTGTAGCCCCGAACCAACTGACCGCTCTGTCTTATTAAATTGGCCTTTTCACAAGTCTGCTCATTATTCGTCATCAATAACAGCGGGGGGGGGGTAAGCCTCTGTAAGGTTTGTCGTTGTTTTGCCCCCTTTTTCTCCCCTGCCAGCCGTCCTAATCAGGTAAATATGGAGATGATTCGTTGGCCCATTGTCTTGTGGCTCGGGTCGCCCTGGAGCTAATTCTGCCGTGTTCCTGTCGGGATGCGACAGAGCTGTAAGTGCGGCTTCAGTGAGCCGCGGCGTCAGAGATAATGATGGGTTGTAGAGGGAAGAGGGGGGGACGAGGGAGGCCGGGCGACACTCACAGCCTGAGGGATCTGTGCTTTTAACGTTGATAAGAGGTTTGACGATGACGTTATTTTGTTACTTTCCTATATGATTTGTGCAGCTGCTCTGGACTCAAGAGTTCTCCAGAGAAGGAAATCCAATCCTTAAGCTGTCCTCAAGAATTCAGCCAAGAGCGGTTTCCTCTCGTGTCAGCTTCTTGCACTTTGTTCCAAATCTTAACGGATAATGTCCAAATGTAACTCTCGACTATTTCCGGCAGGAGATTAATATCTCTGGTTTCCTAACAGCAATGCTATCTGCAGGAACCTTGTTTACAAATGTGCTCATGAAATGTATTACAGGAACAAGGTTGAAAAATAAACACAATTCTTGGAAGAAATCTTTCTTCTGACCAGTCACTTTGCAGGTTGCATGTTGGAGTGACTCTATATGAACGTTGTGTGCGGTCACAGTAAAGTTTACCGCGTAAAGGTGTTTCAATTGTCATTTTGTCTGCTAGAAAACCACTGAAAACCACCAAAAAAACTGCCGTTGGGGGCACAAGGAGGAAAAAAAAGAGGCAGAAAAGAAGCAGAAAATGAGTCTTTACGGAAAAAGAAGCGAACCATCAGCATGAATGACGGGAAAACGATTGGACGCTGTCACTCAGTATGTTTAACGTTTTGTCCAAATGGCGGTTTTAGACTAACGTAGGTGTCCGTGAGTTCCTCTTTGTTGTTACACAATATGCAGCATATTGATGAAAGCTGTGTAGTATTATGTTAAGTGCCTCAGCTAACAAACACCTAACATTAGGCTCGCTAAAAGCTTACTTTTTCCATCAACATGTCAGTGATTAACTGCACCCCCAGACACAGAATGCTAAAATAATCCTCCCACGTGCTAAAATATGCAGTTTTTACCCGCTGCATTCATTTTGTTTGCATTTCAGGTCTTGGTTGCACATCGTGATGCTGATGCAGTTTTCTCTGTTGAATGTGTTTTTTTTTTTCACAGTACGTTTTTGTTTCGCCCCACAAAGCGAGGCTGCGTATTCTCTGGATGAGTGGAGCTCTATGGCTTGGAGAGGGATAAAATATGTCGGGCTTTGGATGCCCAGCCATTGCTTGTTAGCACAATTTAGTCCCCTTCTCATTTATATCAACTAAAGCCAAACCCGAACATTCATCTCGGACTGCTGAATTGCAGAGACCGCCAGAGAAAGAGAGGAAGAAAAAAAACTCTGTGAGAAAATAACGGCGCGGTCCCCGGTGAACGACTAATAGGACGCGTGGGTGCGAAGAAATAACAAGGTGGGCGCGGCATCTCCTCCTTTTTCCCACTCGGCGGGGTGGCAATAACCGCCCAGCACACCTTCGCTCGCTGCCTTTTTTTTTTTTTTTTCTTTCCCATGCTCCCTTTCCACTTAACTCTCTCCACGCTCTCTTATTGCCCCCCCCCCCCCCCCCCCCCACCTCCCTCCATCTATGACTTACATAAACCTCTTGTGCGGGCGCGGGTTGCTCGGAGGTTTTTGAGTGCATTCAAGTCTTCTCCTTCTCTTTTTCTCACATATGCCCACTCTCAAAATGTCTTCCGGCGGGTCGCCAGCGATTTTTCCTTCGGCTGGCTGAATAAAAAAGCGTGACGGATTCAACAAGGAGACAGGAAGCGGGTCGGTAATGAGGAGCCTGCTTAGCATGTAGGGAGCATACACCACCTTCCACACTTCCCGTGTGGGTGTTGGTGCAATGTCCAAGTGTGACAAAGACAGGGAGGACGAGAACAGTTAATTGCTTTGTCATTGGTTAATTAAAGCTGATGTGGTTGTTCTGGTTTCCTGACCCGCGGCTGCTCTGGTGTATATGACAAATACATAAAATAAGAATATCAGCAGCGTTTTTGATTGTACAGTGTCTGTCGTAATAGATTTAATAGATTTGGCTGGTGAGTTATAATTACTATATATATAATTATTTCTCCTACCAATCACTTCAGTTTCAAGAAAGGCTAAAGACTGATGAGAGGACCACCAGCTGTGATCTGAGATGGATCACATGTTGTGAAAGAAAAAATGTCCAACGGATCCTGACAGGTTGCCTGTCGCAAAACAACTGAAATGCTATTCGTAACTTTTCCCCCCTCATACATCTTTTTGTTTGTCTTAAATATGTGTTACATACAATGACTACATCCGTCATTCAAACATACAAATTTGTGTGTGCTCATCAAAGATGGAGGTGTTCCCGGGTGGTGTCAAATGACTCCGACTTAAATCTGGTATTTTTTTAACGGGAATGAGGAGTAACGCGGACACGCGTTCCGTCCGCTCGTGTGACAGCGACGCGGCGCCGCTCGGCAGCTTGGAGGTCTGTAGACAAAGCCATCTGCCTGTCTGTCCCCAGACGCACACCGTCCTCTCGAAACAGGGAGTCCGGGACTCAGATGGCGGCTTTGTGTGTCTGTGTGTGTGTGTGTGTGTTTGTGTGTGCATCCACCAATGTGCCCGTAATTTACACTTTAATGCCCGTGTGCATTGTGAAAGATCTTATTAGAGCATAAACGTCGTCCATGATGTGTGACACCGTGCACGTGGCTATAGGAAAGGCCCCGGCTTCTTTTTTCATTTTCACTTTCTATTCTCAGTCACACAAAATCACATGAATGTCCCCAATGAACAAAGCGGCCTGCAGAAACCTGCCAGCGACTCTTCCATCCTGCTTACACGCCTGCGGTTGATTACTGCACAATAGCACGGAGGATTTATGTAACATTAAGGGAAAAAAGGGATGTTTGAGAGGTTTTTTTTTTCTTTTTCTTTTGAAGATTGCACACCAAAGTAATTTGGATATAATCCGGAGCAGGAAGGATATCCTGAATATTCACAAACATGTTGCTCGGAGCCAACGTGTTTGCTGCAGTGGTGGTTCTAGTGCTACAAACAGCATGTCAGATGATACTTAAAAGACAAATGTATAGACGTTGCCCATCAATGAACTCAGACACTGACTCTTACTCACAAAGTTCACTGCCAACATTTAGTGTGGTCGCCGAGACGCGCTTCCACCCGACTAACCGTGAACCCCTTTCTTCTTTTTGTCCCCTCTCCTCCTTTTGTTTCACACCCCTCGTCCTCTCTGATTCCTCCCAAAACCATCCCTATATCACCTGTCCTGTCCTCTACCCCCCCGTCCCCCGTCCCCCGTCCCCGTCTCCATCAGATGTAACGTCCAGGATTACATCTGGCACAAGGGCGCACGCTGCGATTCGGTGGCGACCGAGTTCCAGGTGATGTGTCTGGCCGTGGGCGCCTCGGCCTTGGTGGTCCTGCTGCTCTTCATGATCATCGTGTGCTTCGCCAAGAAGCTTCACGTGCTCAAGACGGAGAACAAGAAGCTACGCAAGCGCAGGTGAGTTTGGGCGAAGGGATGTCTGAAGTTGGTTGGTTCTTTGACAGGAGGCTTTATTCACGCCTGTTTACAGAGAAAGCCTTGAATTATGTGGATATTTCATCACATTATGGGGGATAAACCTTGAGCTCATGCTCTATCTGCAATTTAGACTCTTAATCTTACGTGTTACCTGAACGGGAGTTTGGGATGACTTAACAGGGGTCACATGATGAGGAAATGATCTGCTTCATCTGAGGACATTTTCTAGTGTTTGCAATTGATAAAAAATACCATCCTTCCTTTGCTCTCTGCCGCCTTCTTCTTCTTTTGATCTTCTTTTGACACCCAATCGTAACTTTAAGTTAATTCTTAACTTGTTTTAAGGTAACAATAGACATAAATGATGATGTGAGGATGGAGATAATGTATTAATGTGAAAATAATAATCATCCCTCAGGCGTTTTTTAAGATTAACCTCCATGAATGTTGATTGGCATAAAAAAGTGCTGTTAACTGTTAACTGTCACGTATTTGATATGATATCATAATTCTAGCAAATGTGCCATCAAGCGCAGAAACTGGTTTGAAGAAACCTAAAAATCCGGTTTTTGTGTGGCTGAGTGGGAGGTGGAGGCAATATTTATTAAAGAAAAGATGACCACGAGAGTGACAGACGGATTGAAGGGTTGGATTGAATGTTTAAAGGGGGCTGTGCGGAGAGGAGGGGCTTCGGCTCGGCATTGCCTTCGCCGGCATCTCAACATTGGTCTCCCTAGCAACAGCGCCGCCGCGGATGAGCAGCAGCCCCGGCGATCGAGCGTCCTCGGACGTGAAGCGGAGGACTGAATTCTGCACGGCAGATCCTGCGACTGCGTTTAGCCCCACGAAGGGAAGGTTGTCACGCTTGACGTGGTGGAGGAAATTATGGATGGTGAGGATGAGGAGGGCGAGGAGGAAGAACGGTGCAGTCAGTAGAAGCCTCGCTCGCAGATATTTTGAGAGAAAAAAGGAGAAAAGGGTGATGTCATTGGTACTCTGGACCCAGCTGAAAGTAGGGCAGTCTGAACAGGAGGAGGGAGGGAGGGAGGGAGGGAGGGAGAAACAGGGGGAGGTGGAGTTGACCTACATACAGCTGTGCGACCCGAGGGCTGTGTGTGTGTGTGTGTGTGTGTGTGTGTGTGTGTGTGTTTATGGGCAGTGTGGAGCATGAAAGAGACAACACAGCCTCATCAAGTGGTCGGCTTAAAAGAAATCAAAGAGCAGAAAGGAGGAGGAGGAGGAGGAGGAGGAAGAGGGTAACAGAAGACAGGAGTAAAAGAAAGGAGAGCAGAATGAAACGGGGGAGGATGGGATGGGGGGGAGTCAGGGAGAAACTGTTGCAGGAGAAGAGTGGAGAAGAAAGGAATAAGAGAGCTATTAGAGGAAAGAATCTCACATTCAGAAGAGTGTGTGTGTGCGTACGTGCGTGTGCGTGTGTGTGCGTGTGTGTGTGTGTGTGTATGACGGCTGATGAATACTGAGACGCCCACACTCCCCCATCTGCTGCAATTAATCGCGGCCGCTGCGTCTCTCTGCCGCAGTCGCGATTGGACCCCACACCCTGGTCAAAGATGAGGAAGAGGAGGGAGGAATCTCTCATTCCAGCTGTTAAAACAAAGACATGAATCTGTTTCATGTAAATGTAAAAAGCATTTTTGTATTGATTTTTATCTAACGCCACTACTGACGTTTTCTGTTAGGCACCTGATTAAATTGGACGTTGGCGCCTGATGTCGTGTGAGGGACTATTCCTTCCTAGCTGGTCGATCAGTCGATCAGTTACATGCACCCAGGTTCACTTTCAGGTTTCTTCTTCTTTGCCACCTTAGGGGGAATGTTTACGAGTATACGGTCTAGACCTTCCCCACATGGAACGTGTCATGAGACAACTATATTTGAGTTGAGATTGGGATTGGAAGAGTCCAAAGGTGTCGCTCAACTTTGAGATCACAAGTGGAGAAGGGAGAACACGATCTCTGTCGGTCTCCCTCTCTCGTCGCCTTTGATTGTCACAATGTTCATGAAATATTAATATGGAACTCGAGTGAAGATCAGAGAAATGGCGCTTTTTTTTTTTGTGGGTAGGAAGTAGATGGCGGGCTCTTTGACTCCGGATGTGACGGCGAGGTGAAGGGAGGAGGGGGAGAGGCACAGCGAGACGTTTAAGTAAGGGTTTGTACGACTACGGGGAGAGATCAGTGTGACTGCGAACATGTACCTGCGAGGAGGTGAGAGGAACACCTGCGTCTGTTACGGAATACTGCGAATAGTTTCTCCCCTGTGATTATCAGCCTTTCGTTGTGTTGTACGCGTTGTGCGTACAAACCTTGAGCGACATTATTCAGATAATGTTCGAATCTGTGTATCCGGGTATCGCAAAGCAAAAGCTGTTACACCTCTGAACTAACTTCCCTTAGTGGTCTTTTTAGCTCATTTGGATCGCTTTTTAATGCCTTTTGAATGCGTTCCGCCTGTTCGGTGTTTTATTTCCACTGTTTTAGGTGAACAAACCTCAGCTGAGGGAAGAGTCTGTATCTGTAGCGCACACATCATCAGAGATGTTTCTACATTATGCGTATAACACTGAGAGGTCCGGGTCTCACGGTTGTTTTATTTTATTAGTCTGTTGCATCACAGATACAATGTCTTGTTTCTTGGAAAACTTTCCGTCTGTGACTAATGCTGCTTATTGCTTTTTTTTTCTCCCCCCTCCTTTCTTTTTTTCCCCCGTTTGTTTGTCTTTACTTCAATAATGTAATCTTTTCCCCCTAAATTTGTCCTTTTCTTGCCCTGCTTGTCCTCCCTCTCTTCTACTGGGTTCCATTTTGTGTCACTGTCTCTTCACTTGTCTGTTTCCGTCTCCTCGACGTCTACCCGTTGGGTTCTTGTGAATCCCCACCTGTCAATGCCACGTGCGTCTCCCTGTCCTCCTCCCTATCTTCCCCAAAATCTTTTGCGTCATCTCGTTCCCTTGTCTCGTCCTTCTGCTCATCATCGTCCTTTCATCCTTTCCTCCAAATTCTGTTTTTTGTTCATATTGAATCCTTCTCCACTTTTCACCCATCTTCATCTCCACCATCACCCCCCCCCCCACCCCCACCCACCCACCCTTCCATCCTCCGACACCCAGCAGTAAGTACCGGCCTTCATCGGAGCAGCACAATGATAATTTCTCGCTGTCCACCATCGCTGAGGGCTCCCACCCAAATGTAAGGAAAATGTGCGACACCCCTCCTAACGTCCCTCATGCCCGTGCATTGGCTTACTATGATAACATTATCTGTCAGGTAACGTGGTTCTCGCCTCTCTCTCTCACCCCTTTTTTCTGCATCTCCCCCTTGCAAACCCTGCCCGGTGCCCCCTGACTCCCCTCCTAATGCATGGGCATGAGTAGTCTCTGATAGGTGTGCAACGCTCAGGACGGGCGGGTGGGCGAGGTCGGAGCGGGGCAAAGGATGGCGGGAGTTTTCTCAAGTGGCGAATGGCGGTGATCCATAGGGATGAGAAATAAAACCACAGGATGTCCACTGTATAATATTATACACATTTGAGTGGTTTTTATACTTTCATCTAAATATCTAAAAATATTTTATGTGTTATATCAGGATAGAACCATATATAGAAGGCCTTGTTTTTTAAAACCAATTTAACCATTGACACATTTCTTAACTGCTCATAATAAATTGGAGCAGCCGAGGTTAGAGGTTAAATTCCCCCCTCAAAGCCTACAGACTGAACATTTATGGACGGCTCTCACAGTGCAGATAACAAACCGCCCCTGCTTAAACTTGAGCCCCCTTCCAAGAGAAAACTCCCACAATCCTTCACTGCGACCCTCCCACCCCGTCCCTTTCTAACCTGCTCTCTCTCTCCGATCACCTTTCGCATCGGTGTGTCATGGCATCCCTGCTCTCTCGCCGACATGCGCCATCCCAGTGGTCATGTCAGCCGTAGCGGCTCCGCTTCGCTATTTGTTTTTGCAAATCTGTATTAACCTGTTTATCCTGAAAAGGGGAGGTGGGGGAGGTGGGTGGGGCTGCCACAATTGATCCAAAATGGTTCATTTTGTTTGTTTGTTTGTTTCCGGGGGGGAGGCAGGGAAAGGATTGATGCCACATACAGGTAAGCTAGAGGTGTGGGGTATATATTTGGGAGAAATGGTTGGGGTGATCAGGATAAACACCTGGGATGCAACCCCTCCCCCCACCCCCACCTTCCCCTACTTGCAGCGGCCCGAGAGCCGACAGGTGCCTCACTAACTGAAGCATGGGTAGCTAGTAGCGGCTGCGCTATCGTTGTAGCGGCATGGGTAGTTCGAGCGCTACAACTCACTTTGAGTTTGTTTTGATTTGTTTTCCAGGGGTTTTCAGGATTTGGTACCACCCTCTAACAGCTCCATCAGTAGTTCTGTTCACTTGTGACGCTGCAGCTACTAGTCGTTTCTCTGTAACTCTCATTTTAACTCAATTTCCTTTAGAGGCCTCGCCCACTCATTGTAACCTCTACCAAATACCATTTTCACTACCCTGAGAGACAAGAAATCCTGAAGGGATTACAAAAAACTTCCATCATCACCTCCGAATAACATCTTTAAAAAAAGGTCAACTTCCTAACGCAACACCTTTCACAGCCCCCTAAAAAACTGAGTCATCCTCTGGACGGAATATAGTAGTCGTAAATACTTTTGGTTTGTTTCGGCACTTGCAAGTCAATAAAACACATTTGTGCTGCCCAGGAAGGCAAGAAGATAGCGAGCTTGCGAACAATGCAGTTTTTCAAATGTTTCATGAGGAAGGAAAACTGACTCTGTGTGTTTCGCAGCAACTGAATGAACTTAAGTTCAAAAAAACTGCAGGTTACCTTTTTGTAACAAATAGCGTTGGGTTTGCTTTCAACAAATTGTATATCAGCTGTAATCTGTTAACATTGATACTTCCAGTAACTTTTTAAAATATGAATGAAGCAAACATGATGAAAGCTAAAATTAAATAGATTCGATAAATTTCATAAAATGGTATCAAACCTCAACCCTAGTGATCCATTTGGTGAGACAGTTTTTGGCGGTAACTCTTTCTTAAGCACGGTCCACAAAAGGCACACTCCTCAACAAACAAAAAAAGATTTCCGACTACTATTCAGCCCGGATTGACTTTCTAAAACATCTTCCAGCCACTTACACAACTCATTTTAGACATAACGGTTTCCACCAAACCAAAACCCTCCCCCCCTCCCCCAACACACACACAAAAAAGCCAACAAAAACACCGCCAATAAATCAAATAACCTCAATTCCCTTCCTGACTAATAGCCCAGCGTCTGTGTCAAGACGGTTGTCCCCATCCAGAAGTATCCAAACCTGTATGTACTGTGCTAATATGGGACAGAGAGTCTGCGTCCAGCTGAGAATATCACGTCTGAGAGGAAGTTTAGTCTCTCCCACGTTTGGTCTCCAACTCTCGATCTCTCTCTTGTCTATTTTATCTGTCTGCTTCTCTTCCTGTCTGCCTCCTCTCTCTCGCTACTTAAATTCTCCGTATCGTCTCCCACACGTCTTCTTTCTCTCCGTCCACATCGATGAGTCTCTCCTCGTCCTCCCTCGCTCTCTCTTTCTCTCTCTCTGTCTCTGTCTTTCTCTGAGGATGCCTTGTATGGTTTTGAGGAGTATAACCCTTTGCCCCATCCCCCTCCCTCTTAGAAAACCATGAGCAGATACACCTGGGAGTGTAAGACCAAAGAGGAGTCCGACTGCGAGGTAAGACCAAATCCCAAATGTCAGATAGTGCCGCTCCCCCCCTACCTCCCCCCACCCCCACCTCTTCTCTCACCTACCCAAACAGCTCTCTCATTGTTACTGTGGCCCTGTCAATCACCGTCTCTCAACTCTCAGTGGACCCATCTGAGTTGTACCCCCCACCGCCAAAATAGGTAAATATAAAAATATATAAAACGTCACGAAATCGAGACGAGACACAGATCCCCACACAATCGGCCACCACTCAGAGCTGAGTATTGTCAGCGTAGTGCTCCTACTGGCATTTGAAACATTCCAACTACGCTGAATTCTAAAACAAAATAGCCCATTAATTTATTTCTCAACCTCAAATGTTTCCGAGAAGCGTATCCGATGCCGTGACGTGTCCTTTGCATTGGAGGTTATGAGCTTCCTGAGCATTGATTGACAGCTGCATCGGAGACTTCTCCCCTCGGCCTTTTTTACTTTGCGTGCAGTGGGATCTTACAAATGCCGTCTCTTGTAATGAGTCAAATCGGTAAAATAAAGCTGTAAGGACTCAAGTTGGGTCTACAATGCAACAGGTCAGCCGTCTGTCACCCAAAAAGACACAGAAGTGCAAAAAAATAAATAGTTCAATCATCCTTTAATACACATTGAAGATGACGATCATGTGGTAAAATTACAATCCAATCACAAACAGACATGAAGCAAAAAAACGGCACAAAACCGACGACCTTGTGAGGACCTTGATTTAAGTCCAGACAACGTACACGCGCACATCCACACGAACACAAAGAAGCATTTACAGAGAAATTGACCCATACACACACACACGCAGCCGACCTGCACACACAAAAACACAAACACACACGCCAGTCTTTTCCTAACAATACCACAAAAAGCAGTTCTGTTTCCCAGCGGTTATAGAAACGCGTTCTGTTCGATTCGCTGTGGTAGATTGAACCCTCTTGTCCTCTATTTTGACCGGCCACATGGTTTCCACTGCAGCTCTACGCTGAAATGGGATTGTGTTTTGTTGATATTAAATAAATTCAGTACAGAAAATGAATCTCCCAAAGGACCTTATTTCCATCGGCTGAATCTGCTCTCGCTGAAAGGTAGATTTATATATTTAGCAATTAATTAAAGTTTCCCCCTAATTTAAAAATGTTCATTCTTTATGTAGTGAGAACATAAAGTACTGGGACCAAGCTATTAAATAGTGTGAGTTCTTCTCTGTCTCTCATTTTTTTTTGTGCTTTTCCGGTGAAACACTTAAGAGAGATAACTAAGTGTGCAGATGTATGACATTTTTATTCTTTGGTCTTTGAAACGTGGCGGTTTTCTGTAGGTTTTCTGTGGTCATCATAAGCAGCACTGTGGCTTTCGCTGTTTACCAAGCAAACAGTTTGTTCAAAGAAGGAACAGCCTTCGAGTTGCACAATACACAATACTCTCCTACAATGATAAACTTGCGTATTATCTGGTAACACACGTTATGTCCAGATGTTATCAATGGAGCTATTCACACAGATGTGTCCTTCATAAACTCCCAGTTTGAGATCCATTTTTGTGCCAGTCCCACAACCATAAATCCTGACTGGTCCCCCTCGTCTCCTTATTGCTCTTCCCTGTCACACATACATGCACACGAAATGCAAACACACAAATGTAGGGAAAATGGAAAAAGAGCCAATATGTCAACACAAACAAACCACAAACCAGTATATAAACACATGCACGGAGAGAGCGGTGCATCGGGGCTAATATTAACTCACACACATACCAGTGCAAATATTCTAATGTGAAGCTTTTGCACCCGAGCATGAAAAACAAACACTAAAGCTAACAGACACAGACGTGTCACAAAACAATATAAATCCAAAACATATTTACTCAGCAGCATGCAGCGAGCTGAAGAAGTATACTGATCCAGACTCTTTTAATCCAACAAGACGCACAAACACCACTGGGCATTTCACTAGATAGATGCTTTAATCTCATGTAAAATATATATACCAGTTAACAGATTGCAGACATGTTTTCCCTTCTGGTATGAATCCTAACGCTTCTTATTCATTTATGTTATTATGCTGAGTTATAGGTGACAAAGCACCTAAAAAAGGAATTCCTCACCCACAAAATTTCCATTTCTACATCAATTACTGAACCGGTGTAACCTTTAACTCTAAAGAAAACCTCCGTAGGGAACGAAGAATAAAAAAAAATCTTCATCTAAGAGAAGAGTAATAGAAAGAGCTCAGCTGTCTCTGTGAGGTAGTGAGAATGAGATTTATTGAATGACACTCAGCCCTTTACTTCACTAAAAAATGTTTTTCTATTGTATCATCGTTAAGGCATGAGAGAAATACAGCGTTGAGGTAACGCAGGTCAAGTATTTGATATACTGTTTAAGCAAATCCACTCTCACCAGCCCAATGAAAACGCTAAAAGGACATTAGGAGCCGTCCGTGTGCCTCCATCATCATCACCATCAAAACCCTGTTTTATCTCTGTTCCTACTTCCTTTTCGAAATGACACCCGCTCTAAAGTCCCCGTGGTATGTGCCCCCCGCCCACTGCCCGTGCTCCCCCACCCACCCTCAACCTACGCAAAATAAACGTAAAACATTTTCCAGTTTCACGCTGACGGGAGGACAGAGGGCCCCTATCCCGTAACCATGGAAGTGACGTATCCACACGTCCTGCCTGAAGTTACTATCTAGGCCAGCAGCCAGCGGGTAAATGCTCTCACTGCTCTTCCTTTCTGAAAGTGCCATTGAATTCAAACGCAAAAACATTCAATTAGGTGCGTGTCTGCTAATGGCAAAGGGCCCTCGGGTCGTGTGTGTCCGAATGAATGTGTCCTTCTCGACAGACGTCTCTGTAAAGGGTGTGTGTGTGTGTGTGTGTGTGTGTGTGACGGGCGCCCCAGGATGCCTCGTGTCGATGACGCCATGCAATATTAATGGGGATAAGAGGCTGAGAAGCCGCGCTGTAATGGACTTGCAATCAATTTCTTCCCTCTGACCTTAATTAAATTCAGATGGATTGGATTGAGCTCTTTAAAAAAAAAGCGTATTTATTTTTGTTCCCCCCCCAGCGACTGCCTAGGGTATGTATGACGGTGGTACCATGATGGAGAGAGTTTATTTCTCTTTTGTTTTTCTTTTGGGAAGGTAAATTCCATGAGGAGGTGAAGCAGGAGGAGGTCTGCATTGAGCGATCGCTGCTGTACGGGGAGGGGGGCATATTGATGCATGTGGATGTGCATGCGCTTCCCGGGTTGCCTGAAAGCAGAGGCGGGGGGTGGGGGGGGGGGGTTGGGAGGGGAGGTATGTCGCTCATGCAGCTCACCTCACTGTGTCCTCAACCAAACGTAACCTGCCAGTGGAGCATGAAAACAGCGATGCCTCCAAACATCTGAAATGGCTGCTACCGGAAACTGGTTTTGCTTGATGTAAAAATGCAAAAGCTGCAACTTTCGTCGAGTTGAATATTTGATTGCACTTGTTGCTGCATCCTGGCGGTCTCTAAAGGATCATACCAGTGTTTTAGGCCCTTTTGTGACAAATCAACGATTCTCAACATCTTCAGACAATGCTGCTGTTTTAGAAACCAGGCCCGATATCCTTCATGTTCTGTTCTTTTTTTAAGGACTCCTAAAAGTCTTCTTGAAAGCAGATATTTAGATCTGTGAAAATACAGGTGTTCCTGTAGAATTGTTCCGTTAAACTGAAGCATGTTTTCTCTACGAGGCCTGCAGCCGTAGACTGTGTGTACAAAGTGGATCGAGTCATCACTGCGTTACCTATCGGTTGGTGGACTAACGCCATGAAGCCTTGAGTTCAAAGATTTATGGCCCGTCCTGAAGCATCCTCTGCTTTGTGCTCTGAGGCTAAAGGGTCCATCATTTACAAAATGAAAATCATGCTGGATTGAAAAGCGACTTGAAACTGGAGATTGAGACCCTAAGCTCATGCTTACAATGTATACTGAGGAAAAAAAATTAAGAAAGTTGTTTTTGAAATTAATATGACTCAAATTTATTCATGAGATATTTATTCCTATGAATGCTGAATGGGATCAGCCCTGTTTAACACCTGGGCCTTTTCTACTGTAACATGTCAAATTGTCTTATATATAAAAGAATATATCTGAAAGACAATACGAAACCAACATTTTTTTTATAAATCTCCTCTTTGATTTTCACACTCTTCAGAAATGAATGGGAACCAAACGCTATGAATATGAATGATAGAATAATAGATGCGCGTGTTTACAATGCAAAGAATGAGCTTCTGCTGCATCATGCAACAAAGGAAGCGCTCATTGTAAATGGTTCCCCATCAACCAAAAGTCATCTCTTTAATTAACATCATAAGTAGTATATGGCAAGTTTATCTTCAGTGGAAATAAAGTGTGTGTACTGACCACAGTCAGTCATTTGAACTGGGAAAGTTCTGCCTCCCAGTTGACTGGAACGCAGTACATAGACACTGGTGTGGTTCTTTAAAGCATGACGGTGGAAGTGCATGAAATTCATGCTTCTACAGAAGAGCCAAAGGTCGTCTTCGTTATCTTAAGTCACAAGGTCAATGTTGGGCAATTCTGCAAAAAACATCTGAATTACATTAAATAACAACGACTCCTATGTCCGATGCTTAATACCTGCCCCTGTCAACAAAGGTAGGTTTGTGGGTTGGGAAAAGAACTGGATTATAGTGATAAAAGCATCGTCGTAGCAGTTAATAATAGGACAAATTGCAGGTCTCTGATAGGATGAGTACTTTGCTCTTCTGCATCAAAACCCTCTTTACTTATTTGCCTCCTTCCATTAAGGACATATTGCTTCCTGATCTGTCATTGAATGCAAGGAAGGACTTGAATTGTGAGGTGCAGAATCGTCCAATATTGATGTGGTTGCTTTCCACAAAGAACGTTGCGTTGGAGGAAACCCATCGGAATGATTGAGTTTCCTCCGGAGGCTTAAAAATAAAAAAAAGGTTTTTGCAGTTTTTGCACCTTGCAGGTTCAAAGTTGCACGTGAACATGCGATAGTTTGTTGTGGTTCTAACTGTACTTTCTTCCTTCCACCTCCACCTGTGCCTCCGCCTCTCGCCTGGGTAGGACGATCCTAATTCCCAGAACAAGCTGGAGGACCCGGTGAAGGCCGCGCCCAAGGAGGACGACTCCCTCAACATCCACAACTCCCTGACCCCCAAACACGAGAACCACAAGGTCCTGGGCGAGGAGAACTCCTCGGAGGTAAACTCACTGCAGAACAACATGATGTGAAAACAAAACAAGCCCAGCAACCTGACGACACAACACTGAAAACGACAAAAGGTGCGCCCCCAAACCTCCCTCCAACCCCAACAATCCCCCGCTGCTCCCCGTCCAATTGTGCCGGGGGCACCAACGGGTCAACCAACCAACCAACCAACCAGCCTGCCAACCAACGTACCAGCATACCAACCCTGGTCGACAACCGTCTCCAACACGGCCAAACTGCCACCAAGCGGCCCAGGCTGCTGCTGCAAAAAACACACCGTACACCACCACCAACACCACCAACACCACCACTGCTGCCGCCAATAGCGCCCCTGCTTAGAGTAACCCCCCTTCCAACGAATCTCACCCTGCCGCCGCCTTGCAACCCCCTCTTACATCCACTCACGCCCCTCGTTTCACTGCCCCTCCCCCTTGTCGCTGTCACTTTATTCTCCCTTATCTCTCTAACCTGCACACACACGCACACATACATACAAACGCACATAAGAAGCACGCACATACAGTGAAAAGATGAAAACAAAGACATGCGTATATGTATACACACAGACACACACACACACACACACACACCTTCCCCTGCCTGCATTGGTGTATTTTGTAAAAAGAAAGAAATCATACAGAAGTTTAAAACGTACGTGAAACGTCATTGTAAAAAAAAAGATAAAAACTACTGAGAGGTTTTGATGTTTGTCTGACTAATCCAGTGAGTATGTATAAATATTGGAGAAAAAAAAAATCCTTGAATTGATTTCAAAAGAAGCAACACAATGTGTCTTGGTTTTCATTGATGTGATTTCTAATCCTTTGATGTATTTGTTTTTTTGTTGTTTTTTTGTACTTTTTTGGGATTTTGAACAGAATAAGCGATTCAGACAGTTGTTGAAATAAACCTTTTTAACATGACCTCTGTGGATCCTGTGTTTTCCTCAGCGTGGCGCCCCACTTTTATCCCCCTCTACTCCGACACTCTGCATGGCTTTTGAATGCAGCTTCTTACAACCTTGTCAAAAATGTGTCTCCCTGCTTACTCATGCACACTCAGGTTAAAGTTCACTAGCACATTATAATCTATTTTACATCCGGTATGGCCGTTTTTGTGTTAACACGTTGCATATATTCCTAATCAAAATATCACACAGGCCGCGTAGTGTTTTGGTGGAGAGGTAAAGAACCCTGGATTTACGACACCAAAACCAGCAGGCATTTTTGAACTACATGGTTCTCACACAACAATAGTAATTTAGTTTATTACACCAGAAGGTTACAGTGGAGCACATCCATGCAACCTTTCAGTACAGATTCGATCAATAGATATAAATCTACATGGATCTCCAAAAGCTCTCAAATACAGTAGGTGCTTTTATGGTTTAAAACGACGGGACTGAGTTTGACCTTCTCCAGAGTCGACAGCTGCTCTACTGTCAGAAAATCCCCTTTCGCAGCACATAAAGCATGACGGCAAACACCAGGTACCGGTCTGCTGCCTCTGCATGTTTCCTGCCTGCAGAGATGCTTTGCTGTTTCCATCGGAACACATTCACACTTCAACCCGTGCTCCTTATTAACAGGGGAACATATCCTTGTGACACATGTCGTTTGAAGTGCCTTCAAAGTGGCACAAACAGGAAGCAGCGTTGCAGATCTTTTATATTTTTTGTGGGAAGTGCGTGTAACTCTACACAAACACACGTCATGAAACTATTTAGGTAAATGCAGTTGGACAATTGAATTACGTAAACTAAAAAAAAGTTTAATCACCACAATTTCTTTTAACAGTTTATTATTGAAAGAATGTTTATCAGGTATCCAATTCAGCATATGAAACAACATGATACATCTTTATACTACGGACACACACCTATAACAAAAGAAACAATATAAAATACCCATAAAAATGCGTAATTATTATATAAAATAGGTATAGTACTTTACTCAAGTACACGTTTGATTTATGTTTATTGAGTAATTACATGATATGCTTGTTTGTTCTTCTACAAAACTACATTCATGCATTCCAACTTATCAAACACTATCATAGAGATAACTACCTGCATTGCAAGTACTTTCATTTATTGTTGCTTTCGCTAAGTGATGGATCTGAATACTTTATTACATTTAGAATTAGTGGCTCTAGTAGTTTTTTAATTTATGGGAATATAAAAATATTTGACATTTAGAAAATAAGTTATATGATGACACACACACACACACACCTAAACAAACACAAACACCTCCAACACATATTTTAGATCTGCTCAAAAGAGCTTTTTGTTCCATTCAGGATGCCGAGCTGGCACAATGGAGCACACCCACACAGACACATACACACACACACACAGACACACACATGCATTCATACATGTTCAAAGCAGCTGTCAGCTTCCCATACTCACCGTCACTCTCTTTCACACACACACACATTTTCTCTTCTTCTTGATGAGAAGCCTCATCAAGTCAAGTCTCAAATCAAGACGATTCTAAATCAAATCTCCAGTAATTGGTAATCTAAGGTCTTAAAGGGGTCCCGTCGTTTTGAAGTATCAGTTCCCCCATGTTCTACGGCTCGGGCCGGTGTTGCGTCTCGAGTCTGAACCACTTCTTCTTACCTGCACACTTGCGTGCGAAGGCAGTCCTCACAGAAATCAGTTCCCACAAGGATAGAAGTGCCAACACACACACACACCTGTTCCCCCATGTGATAAACGACCTTGAATAGGTCTCACGTGAGGCTGCAGTGTTGCCGGCCCTTTGTCGGGTTTCTCCTTTGGATCACTGAGAAAAAGCAAGGGGTTAAACTGTGTTATTGTGGGGGATCCTTCCCAGGGTGGAGGGCTGCTGATGGATGGAGGGTGAGGGGAAGGTCTGGGTGCACTTCTCTTTCTTCAAATGAATAAAAGGACCTGGGGGCGTCGGGGTGGGAGGGGGCAATTTTGCCCCCAGTATGTAGATGAAAAGACTCATCAAGAATAGGAAACTGAGGATAGGCGAGCTACGAAAACAGCAGTAACAGTGATTATCACCCTCTTTTATTCCTGTCAGCCTCTCACACACAAACACACTCTTGTGGAAGTTGGCACATGCAGTAGCACATGATTGCACATGCTCAAACGCACCCACCCACCCACACACACACACACACACACACACACACACACACACACGCACACTCACACACATGCACACTCACACACATACATACACTATAGGAGGGTCCTATGAAAGGAAACAAGCAAGCCCAGAAGTACCAGTGGCGCCATGGCAACAAGTGGGCATTACATTACCGACAGCAAGAAGTGAAGCAGGGTGGGGGAGGTGCCGTCACCCCTCTGAGAGCAATGTGGCAAAGTGAAGCGAGTAGAGCGAGTTACATCCATTCACACCCGCTGAAGCAAGCTGTAAATTGCACTGTGAGGCGTGTATGCAGGATCAATGAACTTTTTTTTTTGCGTTTCATTTTGCCGATATCTTTGGTGTGAAACATCTCTGCGGGTATTCGCCTTGTCTCCTTCCTTTAATATTCTGGTAAATACATTTAAACTCCAAATGAGTGAGAAAAGGGGTTTTGTAGGAAGAGCTACACTCTGTTTTCTTCACGGCTTCTTTATTGCAACCTCACAGTATCTTAAATTCAACTTATTGTAAATAAATTGCGCAAAGATCAGATGACACTGATAATTGTTGATAGCGGTACACCTACATATCAACTTAAATCAGGACACACAACATTAACAGGATCTAAAGCTGTAGATTTTTTTCTTCTTCTCACTTTTATAGTAATGTTGCTGTGAGGGCTTTCTATGAATTATTAAGGAGGTGCCAAATATCACAAAGCATTGTTGTCAACTTGTGAATGATTATCAAGAGTTTTAAAAGAAAGATTTTAAAAGAACTAATTTTGAGGCATGAACGTGAGCCCCTCATAGTGAGCCCCAGATGTCATTATTACTGCAGTCAAAAGGACACATTGACCCTCCGTGGGTGTGTGTGTGTGTACGTTGTGAACATTTTCCTTTCCGCTCTCTCTCTCTCTCCTTTCTCTCCCGCTCTCTGTCTTTCATTCTCACGTATCCGCTGCTGCCGGGGATTTTAATGCATCTTCAGACAGAAGAGGGCATCGTTGCCATGGAAACCCATTCTGATGCTCGAGTCTTAGCAGACGAGCGACAAACTCGGTGACCTCTGGGTTTCTATGCCTCCTCATACGCACACACACACGCACACACACACACACACACACACACACTCAAACACACAAACAGATTAAGAGATGATAATTTATCATGTTAGTAACTAGTAGTCCGCTGTAGTTCTTCAACACACAAATAGAGGACGTGAAAAAACCTCATCGCAGCACTTCCTGTCAGTTTATTTGCCTTTGAGCTCATTGTTTTTGCAATTCCAGTCCGACCGCTCTCATGAGAAGTCGCAGCAGGAACACTCGAACCATTCAGATGTTTACAGGATAAATGTAAAGAAGTAGAAGTGAAATTTGTCATAAAATGGAGAATGTAGTAAATTAAACATGGTGGATGCGTGTCGAGATTCTCTCCGAGTCCAACCTGCTGAGACTTGGGATTCATCCGCAGCCGGTGATTGGCTGACGATGTGGTGAAATGATGGTGTTGGCATCCCGAAGAGCCCATTGTGATTGGCTGATGCGTAGTGCATGATAATTAGTGTGGGGGGAGGGGGGGGCAAACACACGCACACAGAAAGCCATGCATGTATATGTGCAAAACGTACGTATGAAAATGCTCGAATTAACCCACAACGCTCACATTTAAATCTGTCCTTTGTTCCACATATAAAAACGCAAAACATATAGAGACACATATCAGAGCCAGCTTAATTCAGAATTACGCGCATGCACGCACACAAGCAAAAAGGCCTTCAGAGGAGGGGTGAAAGCAAGAGGAAAGAGGAGAGGAGCAATGGAGGGGGCGCCGGGGGGGTAAAGTCTAAATGAATCGTTCTGGCACCGTCTAGTTTACTAATGAGGCTCTGAGGAATGTTGCTGATCAGAACAGGACCCATATATCCTACTTTGAAGTACCCCCCCCCACACACACTCACACAGACACACACTGTCATCTCTATTCTGCACCACGTAGGAATGAGTGACTGGTTCGGCATCGGGTTCAGAGCGATGCCACCAAACCGTTTGCTTCAGGAAATGTTGATAATTGTTTGTCCGTAAGAAAATAGCTGTTGATCTGCACACGTCCCACGTCCCCAAGTGTCAGTGCGTCTCCCCCCCCCGATGATTCGTTCATGCATTCTCCATTCCTGCGTTGTAAGGTGACCATCAACCTGGAGTTCCGTCTCCCCAAAGGGACCAAGTTAAGGTCCCCCGGGGGCCCTTTTGCCTGCTACGACGTCTACCTCTGCAAGACGCCAAACCCCGAACCTCAAGCCGCCAACGGGCCCCGCGTCGGGACCCCCGGCAGAGCCAAGGGCCGAGGGGTGACGTGGGAGGACGACTCGTACCCTCCATCGCCGCCCTGCTCAGTCTGCGGCCCCCTCGCCAGCCGCCAGCCGCAGGCCTCAGCCATCAACGGGCACCAGAGGTCCGGGCCGCGGAATCTGCCCCCCTACGGCCCGCGGTGATGCGCTACTCATTCATGCCTTCGTCCCGGCTGTCATCTCGAAGCTCGTCTCGTGAATGCACGCGCTGCACTTGGTCACCGTGTACTGGAAGCGCCTTTTCGAGGACAAGTTGTGTTGCCCAGGGAGATATGTGTGGTTTGTCAGGTTGAAACCACAGAGGTGTTCAAAGTGTCTTTCTTGGAACAGTACGGTACTGTGGATGGGACGAACATGGACCAAGTGGCAGCTGTCAAATGTTCCAAAAAACGTATACATAAAACACATGAATGGCCACTGGTGACCTCAGGAAAAAAATGCTCAATTGTTACGATGCTTTAACTTCAGAAGTTGTTGCCATTTTCAAAACGTTGAAGGTTTTATTTGAAAATATTTGTTCATATTCTGTATCAGACTTTGGTGTTCTGAAAAAATGAAGAAATAATGCCCTTTTCCAATGAATGAATTGTGAATGAGGAGCATTTCTCCTTGCTGCATTGTGACAATGAGCCTCGGGGTCTCGCTCGGGAACATTTCAGGCACAGCAGGAGTCAGGAGTGTAAAACCACAACGACAGATTGTTTAATTTGTACATTTGTGTGTCTGCGCCGACATTTATAGAGCAAGCAGGCGGTTTGCCAAGCAACTAGTCGATGGCAGCCCACTGGATTGTTCTCCATTACTCTCCTCACACATCAGTACTCTGATACTCTCAATATTTATTACGTGATACGTTATCGATCCCTGCAAAAAGAGTTACCATATAGATTATTATTCAGAGAACTTGAAATTTATACAATTATACTTTTAGTGATCAAAACCCCCGGGTGCAGCGCACACATGGTCACCTGCGGAGTTACGCTGACCAGTATTTCATAGCTTTGCATCAAAATATTATGTTTTATTTTAAAAGGTTGCATCACCTGAAGTATCACATGACTCATGTCATTTGTCTTTACCAACCTTCAGCTCTGCATTTTGCCTCTCGCTTTACTTTTCTGCTTCAGTCTCTGCGCTCTCATCCCCCCTGTCACAGACAAAGACCTGATAACCTTAATAAATTCTTGATAGAATTCCAGACAGATATATATATATTCATGCTTCGTGCCGAGCACCAAATGGCATACGGACATAGTAGAGAGAAAAGTGGTGCAATAACATTTAGCGGCTTAAACACCACTAAATAAAGACTAAAACCGAGCCAGACATTTACTGGATGTTGTACTTGTTTCCCATCACGTGACACAAACACAGCTCTGGATAATAATTGTTTTGTGGGTAAAATGGGTAAAAGTTCCCTCTCGGCTTTAATTGCTTTAACTGCTGTTTATATCGGTTACTTGAAGCGGCAAAATACATAACTATCAAAGCATCACTACAATGACATTTTAAAGACGTGTCAAAAGAGGGTTATTTAATTTTAAAAAATGTGGAGTCCTATATACTACATATTGAAGTATCTTTGGATCCAACAAATAAGGTTCGGCAATATGACTGCAACGCAGAAACAACAGTGATAGGAAGGATCCAGGCAGGTGTAATTACTCAAACAGATTTTGAGCTGAACTGCAGTGCAGCAGCTCAGGGATGATATTTCTAAAAGTTTGTTTGTGGAAGCTTAGTAAGGAAAATATGGAACGTATTTAAAGAATAAAATGTAAATTGATTGCATTTGTGCTTTTGGTGTATGACATTTTCAGTAAAAGTGACACAGTGCCATCTGCTGATTCAAAACAAAACCAGTTGTTAATGTTATCTTCTATTTTTTTTAAACAGGTTTGTTTACAGCTGTTCTGGCTTTACATTTTATGAAGATTTTATGCTTGAATGCCGAGCCGTACTACATTTTGGTTGGAATCAATCATCAATGATCATCAGCTTTAGATACTGAAATATAGCGGTACAGAGAGCTTTAGTAAGTGAAACTACCGATACAACTCAATAAATACATTGATTTGTGGCAGTACGCAGATGTCACGCTGTTATTTGAGACATTGTTATTATGTCCTATTATAGCTGCTCTAATGTCCCTGTTTACTTTCAAATTATCTCTAATAGAGCTGAATATAAAAATGCTCTGTATTAAACGCTTGAAATACAACACAAACGTACCGTGATGTGCACCCCGATCAGTGATGCTTGTGCAGTGGAAGAAAATAACAAGAAACAAAAATCCACAGGCCGATGGTTAAAAATATAGACTAGTAACTATTCCTTTGTTCAATTTCTAAATGCTGCTTTTTTCCTGTGTTATAAGTACAATGATTCCATATTCCCTCTTTTATAGGAAGATACTGTATAGGATTTATTGGTTATAAAGGAGGGTTTTGCGAAGTCAGACGGAAAACAATTTCCGTCTATTGTTTATAACATGTTCTCTAACACAGGGAAAGACTTACTACTTAATAACGTGATAATGAATTAATATGAAAGCCAAAGGAAAGTGATGGTGTGCAAGAGGTTGACATTTGGTTTCCTGGTACAAAATATCTCAGAAGAATTCCTCGAGGTTTTAGAGGAAGAGCACAAAAGAGGATGTAGAGGATGCTGGCACGCAGATTTTAGGTAAGAATGTTAATTAGTACAAAAACTACATTGATTGTTGAGGTAGGCATTAAAGGTTTATTCAAGACCAAATGTGGCACAATAGAAATGAAAATATTTCCTTCATTGCTGACTTCATATAAAGCCAAATAAATGGTTCAATTAAAATCAAAAGATGTTCATTCCGTTGTCCCCCTGTAATGGGTACTACCGGTAGGAGGCGTTGTCTGTATTTAATAAAGACGGAAACACATCGAAGAAGTTACCATGTGCAGGCAAAGATCTTCTATTAAGACAGCTGCACACAGCTGTCACCATGGAAACCATTCTGTCACATCGCTCTGGCTGTTTTGTTTCTGAAAAACAAAATTTGAATTCTTCTCCCTTTTTTGTTATGCTTCCCTTAATCAACAAAACTTGCACAAAATAATGTTGTTACGTTATTATTTATTTTACAACAAGACGCTACTGGCTCCAGCACGTGCAGAGTGAGACCTCCTGTCTGGCTTCTCCTTGTCTTTGCTCACTAGCATGCTACTTGCAGTTAGCACAGCAGCTAATTCAGAGGAAAGCAGTGAAATTAACCGGCAAAGCAGATACATGGACGTCGCTTTTTGACTTGTGTATTATGTCTTACAGCGCACATTTTGACATTGATCGCCGCTGACAAGTCCTTTTTCCTAACGCTATTTTTAGCTCTCTTGACAATCTGTTTAGTTAACGTAGTATTTACAGTCAGGCTAGCTCCTGAGGTTAAAGTTAGCCATGTTTACAGAGCTCAACAGTATCTTGAACACAACTCCCGACAGCTTCACACAGGTGAGGACTAAATGTACACGCTGTTTCACATGAGTACAAAGCAGCTACACAAAGTCTATAACGGTGACGTTATTCTACAGGGGGAATTTATCTTGCTCTCGGACAGACAGAGTGATGCCTCCTTCCTCATTCACCACTTTCTGTCTCTGTACCTACGAGGTGAGTTCACCGGTCAATGTTAACTTAAGTATTACAGTAACGAGAGAGACTCGTGTCTGCTACAGCTGATGTCTCATTCTCCCTGTATCCTTGTCTCCCTGTATCTCTTCTTTTTTTATTTTGTATCCTAGCACGCTGCAAAGTGTGTTTTCTGGGTCTGGTTCAATCCTTCAACCATTACAGCGCCATCGGTCAGAGACTGGTGAGTCCTGTGTGCTTCTTCATTTGATGCTCACCCTGAGTGATGAGAACAGTGTCATCGTTTACATTCACACTTATTTATTCATCTGAACAACATAATATCTGTCTCTTCCTCTTTAAAATCACACCCATTTCACCGTCATTATTGGTCTCTCGCAGTTTGATTTCCAGTAGTTAACTCGAGTGGCTTACAACTAACATTAACAATGCAGATGAGCCTACTTAGCTTTTCTCTTTTACTTGTAAGGTTACGGCAGAGATTGAATCCGATTGTATCTGTATATATGACCACGTGTTCTGTTTAATTTGTTAAATGCAGCGGGTTTCACTGGGTTTATCGAGCCTTAAGCCTGGTGCTGTGATGGCGTCCTATTTGTGTTAATCCCTGTCGGAATTGTGTTTGTCTCAGGGTGTAAGTCTAACACAGGCCAAGGAAAAGGGTCAACTGGTTTTCTTGGAGGGACTGAAGGAGTCTCTCTCTGTATTAATTCCTCAAGACACCGAGACTGGAACTCGTGCCATGGACTTCCTCAGGTACACACAAACAGCCACATTTTCTTACCTGTACAGACTCATATTTTATTATAGCATCACTGTTTATCACTGTTTATTTGTAAATATTGTAATTATTTGAGTGTATTGGTCACCAATCCCAACAATTTTCCAGACCAAATGTGCCAGTTTGACCTCCCGTCTCCCTCGGTATCTTCATCCTCCTCCTCTCCAGGGATCCTGCCGTCGGCCTGAAGAGTCTCTACGAGTTTGTCCGGTCCGGTGCGACCAGTTCTGGCGTTGGGGGACGCGAGGCGGACGGTGGGGAGGAGTGGGGGCCCCCGGTGTTGCTGGTGGACGACCTCAGTGTGCTGCTGAGTCTGGGGGTGAGCGCCGGCGCCGCGCTGGACTTCAGCCACTACTGCAGAGCCACCGTCTGCTCCCAGCTACAGGTCAGCTTTTACTGTCATTGTGCCGCCATCAGTCGTGGTTATCTGTTTTCTGAACGTAACTTTGATCTCGGCGGCAGGGCAACGTGGTGATGCTGGCGCGCTCTGATGGGCGGAGGGAGGAGGAGGAGGACGGAGACGATGAAGGCTCAGAGAGGCTTCTGAGGGGCCTGACCCACCAGTGCAGCCTCACTCTTCAGGTACAGGGTCTCCCCACCGGCTTCTGCAGGGACATACACGGCCAGGTGAGTGGGATTCGGGTCGAGCATGCATGTTCTCACACTTCAGACCATGGTCCAAGGATGCTGCGCACAGCCGAGGACGGTGCCGCCATGAAAGACTCATTCCCTCAGTTGATTTTTTTTCCTCCTTTTTTTAAAGCTTAATGACTTTTGTCCAACCAAGAGTTTTTATGGAAGACGATAAACATTTTGATTTTTTTGTCATTTTCGCTTCATTTGGTGATCAATTCATTATTTCATGGGTTACAGTTTTAATTTTTGGTGTCCACTCATTCAAATATGACCAAATTTATAATTTCCTGTGTCGTGAATAACCTAGATTAAATAATGGAATTCGTTTTTTGGATTTTGCCTTAAAGTATTCATATTTGGTTTAAATCAGTGCTTATATAGTATCAACAACTGACCGAAAATGGTGACTCACATAGTCTGTTATAGGTTACGTACTGTTTATATGCAGTAAATACTGTAAGGGATGAATGCAAATCAAACATATTCAAGAATAATGATGTGTGTAAACCAGTGGTGTTTCTTGTTTTCAGGTAGAAGTGTGCTGGAGGAGGAGACAAGGCGATGAACAGTACAAACAGAAGAAACTCTTTCAGTACAAAGTCCACGACAAAGGAGCCTCCTTCTTTGCTCCCGGGACATCGAGCGCTGTTCTCTAGTTTCACCTTTCCTGCGTTCCCGTTTGGCCTTTTGTCTCTTTTACACGTAACAACCGACCATCATGTTTCGATATCACCAGACAACACAAGCTGGGTGTTAAGCTGCCAAAAGTAGTCTGTGATCCGAAGAGAATTCACCAACCGTAGTCAGGCTTTACTTTTGGATGCCCGCCATTGTTCGCGGGCTCAGCCTGGATCCCAGACTGTCTAGAGTCTGGAGGACGGTGTAATCCTGCCAGCTCATCGCCTGCTTCCAGACCTCGGAAACTCTGCCCACGTCTCTTACATTTTATTTTAAATTGAGCTGTTTGAATAAGTGAAGCAAAAACAAAATGACAATTATGTTTTGGTTTTTGTTGCTGGTTTACTGAAGTTATAACTTTCAACTCACGCCATTGTTAATATTTGGTTACGGCAAACTGATTTTTTGTTTTTTTTTGTGCGTATGTTTTTAAATGCATCTGTGACTATGTCGAGTGGATATTTAATAGACCCCCCCAATAAACGAAACAAAACAAACACATTTGTCAAAGGGAGTGCTGGTATTTGGCTGCACAATGATGCATGAATGAACAATGAATACATGAGAGGATTGTTCTCAGCACTGAGTGGGTGTCCTGTAAAACGTTGTCATTACACGGTGTGCACACCAGGAGGCGCCGTTTCCCCGCTCATCGCGCTGCCGGGCGAGAGGTCGCAGTGGAAGGTCTGCCTGCCGTTTGACAACCGGTAGGTCTGAAACGCGGCTCCTCGCATGCCAAGCGTCCGAGGCGGAAAAAAAAGAAAGCCTTTAGCTAACCTGCTAAAGCCAAGGAATACCACGACGGTTGCAGGTGACTTTAACCAGGAGCATCACGGCAACGACTATCATCTGAGGAGCGCTAAAGTTCTCCCAGGCAAGTGTGTGTGTGTGTGTGCGCGAAAGCTGTAATGCGTTAGCATTAGCTAAATAGGCTAATGTGACGAAAGTTAGCTCCGTGGCTGTTTAGAGCATGGGAGCTGGTTAATCCCCCCACGATGTTAAGCAGTGAGAGTTGTTGCCAACAGCCGCGAGGTTTTATTGATGGGCTCCCAGTTGTGTCTTGTACATCCTCAGACATCTAATAAATGAATCCTTATTGTACCACTTTAACATCGTTAAAGCTAGCTAACTTTAGCGTTGTTTGGCAGCGTTGTTCGCCTCAGATTATTCCAGTGGTTTTACCGTGACAGGTTCAGCAGGTGTTTTGCCTTATTGTATACAATCTCTTCATCTTCATTTCGCGCCACATTTATTGATTGATTCACAGGTATTATTCGGGGCTAACATAGCGAGCTGGGTCCTGTCATTCTATGTATTTTAGCATTAAGCTGGGTGCCATCACAACTTGTTTGCAGGCACAGAAAAGGCGAACTAATTGGAAGTAATGTCATATTTGTATGGGCATATATAGTTGTTGGACTGAACGAAATGAACCCTTAATGTCTTAATTTAAATGATCTGGTTAAAGAGTCTTGTTTAGCTACTTTGGTAAATCAACAAACGCTAGCTAACGTTAAGTCACACACGCTCTCGGCTAGCTACAATTAACGTTAGCGGGCTAACGAGTTGCCTCAACCGGATTTTGTCCTTCATTCTATTTTCCATTAACTTAATTCATCCCTTATTCTGGGAGTACGTGAGTTAAAATGAAACTGATATTACAACGTTTTAAAATCTGATGTAACAAGGACCCTCTTCGAGATACGGGAGCCTGACCGCTTCCACTAACGGTAACTAACGTCACTTAACGTGCTAGCAACGCTTGACAGCAGATTCTAAAAAGAAAAAGGTTCGTTCATTGAAAATACAAGTCCAGTCGACTCTAACGGCGATGCCTCTGCTCGTGTGTTGTCTTTGCATATTTGTGCATATTAGCGCTAAATCCGTGATTACTTATTATTTGCATGTTCCGGCTCCAGTGGTTTCTACACCATCTCCTGTTAAATGATTAAATTGTTGTCAAAAAGGGTTGTGGGCTGTTTTGGAGCTGATGTGAACTGAGAAATGCTTTGTGCTTAATGTGAATAAGAGTCGATCGAGTTTATTCTTTACTCAAGGGGGTATCTAGAGGTAAATCCTGCCCTGTCAAAAGTCCTCCTCATAACACCAGTAAACACCCACTTTGACAGTGTTTGTTTCTTTGAGGAGCGATCCTTGGACCCTCCTGGAGGCCCCTGGTTCGAGGGGCCCACAGCGCGCTCAGCTGGTTCCTGGAAGGTGATGTTGCCACAGGGTTGCATCAGCGCCCATCATCCCTCCGTGTCTGCTGTCTGACTTAGGGTTAGACAGCAGGCACTGCCGTGTTATATTTCCTTCCCCATTATCTTATGGTTACTGATTGACGGGCATTTCCCTTTTTTGCCATCAGCTCCCATTGTAAAAGGCGGCGTTGCAGGAATCGTTTGCTTATCCACACCCGCTCGTCCTCACGGCAGGACTAATGGGAGTCCCTGATCAGAGGAGCGTGCTTTCACATTATGCAACCATGGAATTGAATCTCTGATCCGGTCACGTATGGACGCAGCCTACGCGCCCTCTGGAGTGTTTTGGGGTTTCGGTTAAACAAATGTGTTTGCCATCCGTTTTTCCCTGGAAGATGTTTTGTACGTGAAACAGAAAATAGCTGACATGGCATTGGAATATTTGAGCCCTGGAGACGCTTTTAAATTAAGCATTCTTGCGAGTGTTGAAAAGAGGTAAGCCTGTGTTTAAAAAATATATACAAAAATATATATTTTTTAAACCATGTCTCTTAAGACATATTTGAGCATACTGTCTGCTTTTGAAAGAGTTTTGATTCAGCTCATCCATAAACTTGGTGCAACACTTTGCTCACAGTAGTATTGAAGGCATGTGGGCCACCCCCCCTCCCTCAATACCGCTGCAGAGTCCTACTAGCAATCTCCCAAACCAAATCCGTGGTGGAAATGTGGCCCCATCCCATCCCGTCTCGAGCTGTGTTTTTCTTTGCGTCTAAGGGTGCAGGCTCCTCACGTGGCACCGGAATAGAGCGTTCTTTGTCAGGATGTTATTTATTAAGGTGAGACATTTTCCATCAGGATGTCGTGAACATGTTATTTGTTGCTTGTTTGGTTTCAGCCTGGGGCAAAGAGGGCTGGCCCTGAGCCCTGCTTGTTGGGTTTCCGATCGGCTCAGTCCCGGATTAGTATACTGACGGATACGCTGCTGAGCCCTTTTTTTTTTTTGCCAAATCAGTGCCCGGTGCTCCACTGATGTAACCCTGCAACACGCGGCACCAGACACCTGGCAGAGAGATGGAGGCGTGTACTGGAAATGGAGTCGCTTCAAAGCCTGTTTTGACTTGTGCCGAACACACGTTGTGTGTTTATAGCTGCGCCGTGTATTTATAACCGCAGTACAAGGGACTCCCGAGGCCCAAGTCCTGCGGGGGAATGTTTCCGCTGCTCCCGGGAGGGCGAGCCGAGCGGTCGCACACCGCGCGTGGATGGAGAGGGGAGCGCTACGTTAACCTCACTCTCACTGCACCGCTTAAGCTTAAAAAACCCTCCGGGGGGTGTAAGAGGCTGCGTGCCCGAGAGCTCACCTGGTCTCCCGTCAGCAGGTAGGGTCCCACGACGGCTCCAGGCTGCTTTCGATGGACGTATTGCAGGGGCCGAGCTGTGAGCTTGTTGTTGTTGTTGTTGTTGTTGTTGTTGTTTTGGCACGTTTTGCATGCACAGAGGTGCCGAGGCTCAGCGGTTTGTAGGAGCCAGCGGCGGTGCGTGTACCGGGAGCAGCCGGTTAAACATTCGGGCTCGCTGAACCGGCGTGCTGAGTAAACGCTGAGTAAACAGGGAGGCGATGGTCCATAAGGGAACCTGAAGGAAGTCACCCGTCAAAGACCTCACGTTTTATTGCCAGCCGGGAAACAATGTCGAAGCTCTTCCGCTGCCATGATGATGTATAGTTTTGAGTCCCATCTGGGAAGCCAATGAAATGTTATTAATTCAGTGACTGTCAGTGTAGTCATATTATATTAATGGGATGAACAACCTTGCGGTTCCCGGTGCACCCTCTCTACCCCTGCGCCAAAAATATATACATACATATGTTTGCTAATCTGTGCATTGATTCATTTTCTCTTGAAAGACTTCATTCAAAAGCTGCTGTTGTCTCTCTGTGGAAATCTGATCAATCAACTGTCAGTTAACAAACGGTCTTTAACTGGTGAACCTGTTCCCCCCCCCCTCCTTGCCCCCCCCCGGTGTGTGACGATGACGAATCTGCTTGCATCCGTCAGGGTGCTCAGCCGGTGTTGCGTGTTCTTTAGCGGGCCGAAGGCGTGTCCACGCCTTTCCCGGGTGCTGAAAGAGCCGTTTTGTCAAAGTCGTGCGACTTGTATGAGCCGGTCTGAATCACACGCCTTCACTCAGCGCGGAGTACGTTACTAACTATGAGGACAGAGCTTCACTTTGAGAACGGGCCTATGAGTGCATGCGTGTCCCCTCATGAAATGCAAGTAGATGTTTGTTTTTTATGAATAATGGAACCCGATTACACGTGTATGTACAGTTATTAGATGTAAACATTAGCTATAATCAACTCTCCGTCCCAGCTCGTGGGCATCGCAACACATTTAGACAAATCACTGATTGTTTCATGATGTATTGAGCTGAGGTGTATAACCAAAGACGCCCTCTACCTCTTATAGCTAAAACACTCTTCCTCAGATATATTTTGTGTAAATGTAACGCTTCCCAAACGTTAAGGAGGAATTTCAGTGACCAGTTGGAGTTTCGTGTTCCACCTCCAGGTCCCTGGATGCCCCGCGGCGCTCCGTCCACGGCCGCGCAGGCCTGCCCAATGGCCGGAAGTTGACCCCGCCCACCAGGATGACGCTGCGCCAGCAGCTGAGGGACAAGATCTCGGCGGCTTTCTACCGCCACGGGCTGCTGTGTGCCTCCTACCCAGTACCCATCATCCTCTTCACCTCCGCCAGCATCCTCACCTGCTGGTAGGTGCCGCCTTTGGTTTCTCCGGGCGCCAAGTAAACTAATTACAGGGTTCATTTAAAGTTTCAAAACATGGCTTTTTGGTAAAGTGGTGTTACCGTACAGATTGTTAAAACTCGTCTCTGTTTTTTCTGACAAATTTTAAGGGTATTATTTTATTATTTTTGTTTTCTCTGTAGAGAATCTTTGAGTATTCAGGTCAAGGTTCATTATTCATTATCTCTGGGTCGATACCCAGCGGTATTATCGGCGGGGGGCCAGAATCGAAGGACATCTGGTTAGAGTCGGGTCGTCGTGGTGCAGGGGGTAGGGAGGGTGTGCTGGGAAGCACAAGGTTGGTGGTTCGAGTCCTGACTGCCCCATGTTCCATGTCGAAAGTGTCCCTGAGCAAGACACTTAACCTTTAAATGCTCCCCGTGCAAAATGTAAAAATGGGTTAAAAGAACTTTTCAGTGTTTGTGTGCGTGGGATTCAACACCTTTCAGAAGAACGCTGCAATGTGCTCACAATTCACCAATGCCGGGGGATAAAATATTTGGGTGTCTGATTAGTGAGCAGTATCTGATACTGAACAGATTCCGTCTTTGAGAGCAACCGACCGTGCTCGATCGAGAGATTAGCGTGTTGTCATGTGGTCATCATGCTATCGACAGCCTTAAGTGAAATGGGAAACGACTGTTGAGACAAGTCTCCCGGCTCTGCTCGTCTGAACCGGCCATCTGCACTTGCCCCCCCCCGCCCCCTCTTTCCCACCCGCCGACACCAGGACACAAACCCTCACTCACAACACGCACGTTTTCTACTTTTGCTCTGGTCAGACGAGAGGACGCGGTTCAGAGAGTTCGAGCTCGAGTCCTCTGGTGGAGGCATTGTGAGACCGCCCCGCGCACCCGCTGCAAGGTGCCGTGAGCGAGCCGCCCTCACGGCACCTTGCAGCGGGCGGTCGGGGGCGGACGGCGGAGGGTGGGGTGCGGGGGGGGTCATATGCGTGGCCAACCACTGTAAAGTGAAAGCATAAAAAAATAGAAAATTGCTTGAGGATGGGGATGTCAAAAAGGGTTGTGAGAAAATGGGCCGTGGTGAGAATGGGAGGCCTGTCCCTCCATCTGTCTGTCAGGAGGGGGGCTGGCTGCGCACAAAAGAGGCCTTTGTGGAGGTACAGTGACCTTGCAGAGTGGGGAAGGGAGGCTGGGAGGGAGGAATGAAGACCGAATGAAGACTGTATTCCAACGGACGGGCAAATTAGAAGAAAAGAATAAGCAGAGAATGACAATGCACTGGCAGGTGATAACGTGACTCAGCAAATACTTATTACTTACATTCCCAGCTTTGAGATCATTTAGCAAAACCTCCCAATCTGTCCTCCAGATAATGCAAATATATCTTTATATAATCCTCTTTGTTTATCGTAGTAAGTTAGACGGAGGTAGAAATGAGGTTGCTTTGGTCTTTTGAGGGAACGTGTTACATAAGGACCTCTCCAGGTAGCCCTTAATCTCTCAAGAAAAGCCAGAGGTGTCGGGTTCTCTGAAGCCGTTGCCTTGTGAGCACATCACACACAACACGCATGAGCGTATCAATTATTCTACTGGTTATAAGCTGTTCCGTCCGAACTGTTGCCTAAATGATGTGTTCAGGGGTCAAATGTTGCAGCGCTGGAAAGAATAATTGAATGGAATTTAAAACAGACGGCTGACTGAGTGGTTCAGTCTTTCCCACCATTGTGTTTCATTTATCTAATATGACCCCCCCACCCCTTCCCATCTCTCCCCTAGCTATCCATTATTGAGGCTGCCCCTCCCGGGGACGGGTCCTGTGGAGTACACCACAGGGGTGCGAGACTACAGCGTCCCTTCCCATGAGCCTCAGGGAGACCTCGGAGAACGGCCCGACTGGGTAAGAGAAGGAAAGAAAGCGTTCACATATCTATAGAATATCTTCAGCTCTTTTTAATCTCAACCTTCCCCACCTGCAACTGATTGTGACCTGAAATCGGAGCCCCAAAATGTCACAACGTTGTCCCCTCTGTGAAAGTCTGAACCGCATGCTAGGCACAAGGCAAAGATGGAGGGGCACATGAATAATGAAAGATGGACACAAAGCGGCGGCTCACTTACCCGATGGCAGTAGTTTTAATTTGCAGGGGGCTGTGAGTGACCGTGTGCGTGTGTGTGTGTGTTTGTGCGCGCACTGCAGTACCGGGGTCCTCCGGTCGCCTACATCCAGCAGGTAGTGGTGAAAGCGGCGGTGTCTCCGTGGGACAGCAGCCTGGTGCCGGTGGACGTGTTTCGGTCGCCGCTGGGTCGAGCCTTCAGCTTGCTGGAGGAGATCCGCAACCACGTCCACTCTGACGGGTAAACGCCAACAAAATGTCCAACCTCCATTACCGAGCAGGCGACGGTATCCCACATCTTAAAACCCTCTCAATTGCCATTCTTCTGCAGGACAAACTGAATAAGTTGATTATTTGCCTTCAAAAATAAACTGTTTAAAAGTGGTTGCATCATACTTGCCTGATTACAGTGAAAGATTCATATCATCGTCAAATACTAATTCCCGCTCTCCCCACCTCGCCCTCCCGTCAGCTCCGGGGTTCGCAGTCTGGAGACGCTGTGTCTCCAGGTGACGGACCTGTTTCCAGGGTTACGGCGGATGCAGTCGGTGCTGCCCGAGCACGGCTGCCTGCTCGTCTCCCCCGGCAACTACTGGCAGAACCAGAGGGAGCTGTTCGACCTGGACCCCGACCTCCTGAAGACCATCCAGAAGCACGAGCCCAAAGGCCTGCACACCTCGGCCACGCTGCGAGGTGGGTGGAGGCGGCGCCAGCCTGCACGCACCCTCGCTTTCTTTGCTTTGTGGAAGTTTAATATTCAATAGCAGGATTTTAACAGACACAAAATTCTGTTTTCAATGTATGCATTACTTGGAGAATATACATTAGAATATATTCACCTCTCGCTTAAAAACCACCAGAATGAAGGAATCAACTGTCCTGTCAAAGGAATTTAGTGGCTTAGATGAAAGTTTTCTCACCTCCAAATCAATGTGGTAAAAATATCCTAAATAGTGTGTACATTTGAAAGGGTGAAGAGTCCCGCCCGCCATCACAGGCAGACGGTCCCTGCAAGGCAGAGTTCACGTGTGCTTGTGACCAGGAATGCTGTTGTGTACAGACCCACGCCTTGACCCATGACTTGAATTGATCGTGTACAGTTTGCACCTAAACTTCTTTCACAACATCAACTTCCATTGCTACAATGGCTTTGCTTATTTTGCACTGGATTGGGTTGAAATATGTGCTAAAGGATTATTTGATACCTGTATTAATGTGACTAGTTGTATCTGATTTGATGCATCTAGTTCTACTTTTCTTTTAACAAACTGTTGCTTCCATCTAACATTAATATCTTTTCATATTGCTTTACGCCTTCATTAAACCAATTTGGTGCTCTGCAGCTTAAAAACTGCTTTTCTAAAGATATTTTGACTGGTTATTTCTCTCTATTTTGATGTGTTTGCATGGTTTCCCATACTGCTACACAACGTTGACATTGCTTATTTCTGTTAAAACAGCCTGAGTCCATTTAATTGTGTTGCTTTGTCTTCATGGTTTTTATTTTTTGATCTAGAATGTATTTGTCTTTAAAGCAGATTAATTGCATCAGATTACCAATACATGCTCCAGCAGCAATGGGTTTAATAAATGTGTGTGTTCTAGACTTGCTGTTTGGTGTCCCTGGGAAGTACACGGGGGTCAGTCACTACAACAGGAAGAGGGTGGTGACCTACACCATCACCGTAGTGCTGTCCACCTACGACGCAAGGTGAGTTACATTTACTATACGGTACCGCTTTTAATTTTGGTGATGATGGTGATGAAGATGTCTTTGTCTGCGTCCAGTTTCCTGGGCGGCCTGCGGGCCCGTCTGAAGCAGCTCCACCCGTCAGCCAACTGCAGCCTGAGGGACGACCACATGGTCCACGTCCACTTTAAAGAGGAGATTGGCATCGCCGAGCTCGTCCCCCTCGTCACCACCTACTTCATCCTGTTCGCCTACATCTACTTCTCCACACGTCAGTCCCTCTGTTGTTGTTTTTAATTGGTGTTCACACATCGCTTGATCTTTGAAATGTGCCAGAGATCCAGACTCGTGCCCCTCGGGGTCTTTTGTGTGCCGTGGTTGTTCCTGTCTGGTGCAGGGATTAATCCTCACTCAGGGATTCTGTACGCTGCAGCAAGGCAAACAAAGTCATGCATATCAATATTACACAAAATCATATTCAAACCCTTTTTACACATTTTAAGTAGAACATTTGAACAATTAAGTAGTTGTATCTTTATGATCTATGAATTTTCAGAATGAATGGTTCAATGAAAACCTTTTTGATAGCCTAAAAATAGTTTGAGTAAGGTAAAGAGGAATTTAGATTAATGGTTTTAATTTTAGTCAGGTTTCAGGTTGAAACAAGTTCAAAAGTGGATTTTGGTAATAGATTTGTTATTATTAATTATTGATACATTAACATGCATCTAAAATCTTCACTTTGGTAACATTTCCATGCCAACTTTTATGAAAACCCCTTCACAGAATTGATTAGAACTCCAGTAATGACCATGGCCGCAGAAAAGGTCTCTTTTAAAAAGCCAGCACAGTAGATCACAATGCATTGCTATAATCTCCCGTCCTCATGTCCTTTCTTTCCTCTCTGCAGGTAAGATCGACATGGTGAAGTCAAAGTGGGGTCTGGCTCTGGCCGCTGTGGTCACAGTCCTCAGCTCCTTGCTAATGTCGGTGGGACTGTGCACGCTCTTCGGACTCACGCCCACGCTCAACGGAGGGTAAGAACAAACTGCTTTTTTTTCTTTTTTCTTCTCTTCTCCAAGAGAACTGCGCGATTGCAAAACGCCTCAAATTTCGGGTGGCCACCAGCTGTGGTTGAGCTGGAGAGCCCCCGGTTGTTGCAGCGACTTGTGCTTTCTCAAAACAAACACAGAATTTTTCCTCGGGGGCCTGTGAGTTTAAAGTGATGTGAACGTGTCCAATTCTTTGGTTTGTGACCATTACGAGAAAGGCTCATGACAGCCCCTTCAGTCTCTGCTCACTTCATTTCATTCAGTGTTAAGTAGCCAATATTAGCAGGCTAATGTGCTAAGCTATTGCTGAATACCAGCAGCTTATAACTGTTATCATTTATTTTAAAGCGGCTCTGTGTAAAAGTGCTGCTAACCTTGTGTCAACTCTTCCGCCGAAATCCGGAAAAGGTCAACATGCGTCTTACAACATAAATGTTTTCTGCCCTTGTTTTGCTCTGTTGACATTTCAAATGTGTCCTGTTAATCATCATCATTATTATCTCTTAACTGAAACAAGGACGGGTCCACGAAAAAAGAAACACTTGTACGCGCACACACACAAACACGCATACCGGCTTACGGACTTCCTCTGCATTGACTTTCACGTGGATCTGTGTTAATGTTTCCAGCAAGTGGGCGGAGAAGTCGGTGGAATAGTATGGACGGGGCGGGGCTTCAGGAGGGGGGCGGCAATGTAGCGTTATTGACATTTAATGGTCGTCCAATCGCTTGAGGATTATTAGAAAGAGGACTTTGTGGCGTGACCAAGGCACACTGCGGTCCAACCACTGACCAAGATCCACGCGTGTCCGCTCAGGGCCGAGCGTGTTCTTACTGCGTGTTCGAAATAACGCTCATCAAGGTCAATAACAAACAAGCTATGCAGGGCAGCTACGGTGCCCGCTAACCCGTGGTGGAGTCCACATTAATGGCTCCTGATAAAGTGGCTGTAAGGGGTGTGTTTATGTTTAGTGCGTCTGGTGTAACATGCAGAGTGGTGGACTCTTCTTGTGACCCAGTTATATACTTCTACAGCACAAGCTTAACTCTGCTCTCAAGCTAATCTCCCTGTACGCTCCAACAGAAAGGAGGGGGGGGGGGATTCCCAGGGGACAGCAGATATTGTTCTGGTTCCTTTATGTTTTTTCTTCACAACCGTTTCTGAATGATAAGGAGATTGGTTCTTTAATTGTACTGCCGTTACTCTTGATGATTTAGATATTAATCTAAAGGTGTGATTTAAAAAAAGGAAAGTGAAGAAGGCGCTTGTTCTCACGTTAGTGGATCCAACATGCGGGAGGAGGCATCTGCAGTCAATGAGCCACTGCCTTTGTTTATTCAATGGTTATTATTATTGAACTCGTTGCGAGTCCATATTCCACCACTGCCGACACTGCACGTTGCTCGGTCAGGTTGACGAGTTATGCAAAGCACACACGGACAAATTTGCTTTGTATACTTTGTATGTAAGACGTAGGTACCAAACCATGCTAAAATGGCAATAGGCTACAGTTGATGTGAAGCATGTGAAAATCAAACATAACAGCGATGCCGATTATAAAATCGAGGTCCACACTTCCAAAGATGTAAGTAGAGGATCTAAAAAGAAAGATAAGCTAATCTTGTTTTGTTTTCTGTGTGCAGGGAGATTTTTCCTTACCTGGTTGTGGTGATCGGTCTGGAGAACGTCTTGGTCCTCACCAAGTCTGTGGTGTCGACCCCCGTCGACCTCGAGGTCAAACTCCGCATCGCTCAGGGTAAGGATGAAGTCTGATAGGCGGCTCGTTTCATTCAGGTGGACTGAAATGTTAAGAGCATTTGATTTATTGATCTTTTTTATAGAAATCTTTTGGAAGAAGAATACAAACCCTAGCTCTGAATATTGGTGCTTTCTTCTTCTACAGGTCTTAGTAATGAGAGCTGGTCTATCATGAAGAACATGGCCACTGAACTCTGCATCATCCTCATTGGATATTTCACGCTGGTCCCAGCTATCCAGGTACCAGAAATAATAGTGTTCATAAGACAATGTGAATGAGTCTTCTCACACTGAGCTTTGTGTGGTGTTCTCGCATCACATGAGGCGCTAAATCCCAAAGTATTGGAGCTATCGGAGTCAATGTGCCGTATTGTTAAAGTTGGAATTGCTGACATTTGGTCTTCGTGCTGCAGGAGTTCTGTCTGTTTGCTGTAGTCGGGCTGGTGTCTGACTTCTTCCTGCAGATGTTCTTCTTCACAACAGTGCTGTCTATAGACATTCGGCGCATGGAGGTGAGAACTCACCGACAGACATTTTCCATCCTAAGTACATTCAGATTATATATATATATATATATATATATATATATATATAATTCCCAAATCTCGTATATAAACATGAGGATAACTAAAACGTTCTAACTAGTCACACACACAGGGAAACCTTTTGTGTTTAGCTCTGTGCGCAGCTAAATAAGCATTAGCATCATAAGTCGTGTTAAATGTGTGGCAATATCCTTCCCGTCCCTAACACCAGTTGGCCGACTTGAACCGCCGCCTGCCGGCCGAAGCAGGTCTGCCGCCGACAAAGCCCGGCCCGCTGCGCCCGCGAGAGGTCCCCCCTCCCCCCCGGCCCTCCCCCCACACAATCACCCTGCAGACCCCGGCCTTCAGGAACCTCCGGCTAACCCAAGAGGCTGCGCGTGGTGTACTTCCTGGCTCGCACGCAGCGTGGCCCAGCGCATCATCATGGTGAGAAGATCGCCCGAGCAGAAGTGTATGATAAACAGTGTGATTGGTCAATATAAAGAACGGGAGAAGTTTCCATTTTAAGCAGAAAACTCATCTCAACTGACCGGCCGCTGTCCTTCCGTCTGCGTCTTCTCCAGGTCGGCACGGTGATCTGGATTGGGATCCTGGTCTACACCGACCCAGCGGGAATACGCGCCTACCTGGCCGCACAAGTGTCCGAGCAAAGCCCCCTGGGAGATCCCGGGGGGGGCGGCTTGCCCCCTCACCTCGGAGTAGCGCCCGTCTTCCGTGGAGGCGATCCCACCAGTACCCTCACCATCAAACCACCGGATCCAACTCCCTCACCGGAGAACCAGTCCCAGGGCCACCACCGCGCCTCCGCCAGGACGGGGCCCCTCGCCCAGGCTCCGCCCCCCGCCGTGCCCCAGATCACGTGGGGGGCGGAGGACGAGGAGGGCTGGAGGAGGCTCTCCTTCCGGCATTGGCCGTCGCTCTTCAGCTACTACAACATCACTTTAGCCAAGAGGTGGGTGTGTGACAGCAAGTGAGCAATCTGTCTGATTCCATAACTACAACAGCTCATTCAAATATTGTGAAAACCCGATTAAAACCCAAAATAAAATGAATTTACAAAGCGGTTACAATATGTGGATTGATATTATGCAACACTGAAAGCAAAAATCACATTTTATGTTTTATTTATCATTTTTCATTGTATAAAGAAACTAAATGTGTTTTTGATGCAAACAGGACAGAGCACTACTTTGAGAGTGAAATTAAATAATTAGGGTTATGGCTTCTTAACTACATCTTAAAAAGAAGCCATGGTCTTTTGCATGTTGTGGATCCCGGATTGTGATCAGGTCTGTATTAATTTCACTACTTGTTTCAGGTACATCAGCATCCTGCCCGTCATTCCCGTCACTGTTCACCTGAGCCCTCAAGAGGCCATTGAGACGCGTCACCCTCAGGACACCAGACACCCCCCTCCATCCATTCCCAAAGTGTCTGCCGATCTACAGACGGACCTCACCCTCTACAAGTTAGTACACACACACACACACACACACACACACACACACACAAATGTCCGTTAAATCCAATTTGAAGGAGTATTTACGCCGGTGGTTCGGTAGCTCCTTTTTAGGAGGCTTCTTGTCTGCTTGTGAATAGAATCAGAATAATTATACACTCAAATATGTCAGAATGCGGTTATTTCTTAATACATCTGTTGTGATAGTTTTGTAAACTCTTGTTTTAGGGTTTAATCAGTTTGCACGGTGCCTATGAAAGAGTCCAGATGTTTCTATTGGTTTACAGCACTGAATCCCGTTGTAGTGTTTCTTTTTGAGACTGCCATAAATTAATAAATATCTCTCTGGAAATCTGTCCCTAGTTAAAACAAAACCAATACAGCAGAGCAATAAAAGGTCCTTGGCCTTGGGCTCCAAGGTTATTGAACCATTAGTTTGAGTCTTCATTAGGAGGTCGGCACAGTATAGCATTTTTTTTAACGGCCACTTCCTCCATGAATTAAAAGGCCAGATTACACAAAGTATTAATAAAAACGAGTGACAGCACACGGCGAGGACTCTGACTCACTTACTTGTTCTTTCTAGTTACACAGTAACAGCAGGAGAGATCGAGACAAAGGAACTACTCGATGTTTGCTTGGACCAGATTGATTGAAATGTCAATAGGTTTCATTGACTATACATGTATTGAAATGATTCAGGGTTTTTTTTGGCAAAATCCACATGGAATCGAGGTCACGTTGGGCTCTCAAACGCTTATGAAACACAGCCAGAGAATAATGACAAACTGGATATTTGCTTGCTTTTGATTGGTCAGAGAAAACACAGACAAAAAAAAAGAATATCAAAGCTGCTTCTTTGTTTTCGTGGACTGTGTCAAGTGTCTCTGGACCGATTGTTGTCTCATCTGACGATAACGAAGAGACGGAGAAAATGTTTTCTCTCCACGAGATCTTTAAGGAGGAGAAATTAACGTCACATTTTCCTTCTCGTGCCGTGGAGGGCTGAAATTTGCCCGCTCGTCTCTGAGCTTTGTTCGGAGCGAAAACTTGTTCCGTTGCTGTTTTGACAGTTGTCACAGCTGAGCGCTGTGCGTCGGAATGCTTGTGCGATTATTGAATTATTGTGAAAATTGGCAACCAAGAGTCGTCGACTGCGGCATAACTGCATATTTAACAGGATTTTCCACATGTGGATTTACATTCCTTTGTTGATACACTTGAAAATGTAGTTAACCTTTGTTTACAGAATGTTGCCTCCACCGGGGAATTTAGGACAAATAGGCTGGTGGCCCCCTCCCCTTCTTACCAGCAACATGTAAAAGAGTTTAGCTTTCACTGTGTTGCATAATGCAAAGTGTTTTCACCTTGACTGCGAAATAGAAGGCCAAGTTCTTTTTCGGCTCATCTTTGGACAGCAGATAGGAAGTCCTATCAGCTGAGGTCGGGGTTAGGGTCGTGACCTTCACATGGGGAAGTGGCAGCCGAGGGTTGAGAAGGCCAGTGTGATAAAAGTGAGCTGTAGTGGCATTGAGAGGAACACTTTGCAGCAAAACACTGGATATCATGCATGACTGCAACTTTTTTCAAATATCAAATTCAAATTGTTAAAGCTTTCTGCACATCACCCTCCAGAACTGTATTTAATAATAATAATAATAATAATAATAATAATAATAATAATGATATTATGTTTTTCCTTTCATAGTACTGAAATAAACTTAAATATAAAAAATGTAAAATATTAAAAAGTAAAAGCGCATCATTTTTTCACACAGTAAAATCACATTTAGACTTGTTTCAGCATTTCAAGAATTAGGAATTTTAAAAATGCTATAATATAATAATCTGAAATCTATTTAAAACAATACAATAATTGTGTGATGAATATGCACAACTCAAGTTTTTTAAATTGTTTAGAAAAGAGCTGGTTCAGTTGAACAGCCCAAACGATTAATCATGAACATAATCTGCAGATGAATCGATAAGATAGATAATATTTTACTGCGCCTCTCGTTGTTTCTCAACCGCAAGAATTATAATATAGCTGTTCTATCATTTAAGGCTGAAGAACCGGACACACAACTAGGCACTGCGTGCAAACCTGATTTATGGTTCTTGCAAACATGACATTTTATTACCTTTGTTAGTGAATCCCAAAACTAGACTTTGTTTCTGTCTTAACCGACATCTGGGCTTTGTAACGGCCGATACCGATCCAGTGAAACCAGTGTGACTTTAATAGACTGCATAATAAGTTCTATGCCTCACTGTGCGGAAATGACAGGAATCATTATTTTTACGTGTCTCAGGCTCCACTTAAAACATAACTTCATAGTGTCTGTGCATCTCTAGTTTAGCCGTCGCTCACGTCGACTCCTCCCAGCTGTAGTGGGGGAACGAGTGAGTGAGAGGTGAGATTAGATCGTCCCCGTCGCTACACGCAGGGTACGGTTTGTACTGGCTTTGTGCTTTGAAAGATAACAAAAGGAGTGCAGACTGATACAGTTGCCGCTGCATCTGATATAGCGGGGCGCCGTTCTTGTATGTTCTACTCCTAATAGTAATAGGTAGTACTAGTTTAATCACACATTTCATGGCATGAGATCAGTAGTTATCAGGTAATAAGTGAAGCAACACCAGTGATAAAACATGTCCAGTCCATGTCCAGTCAAAGAACACATGGAACCCTGTGTTTGATTGGCATTTGTTTAACGACCATTCAGCTCCCAAGATCGAGCCCAAGGCTCGTAGCTTTGTGTTGTAAAGGTGTGTTTTAGTTTCTGCAGAGAAAAGGCTTTTTAAAGGACCTGTATTTCAGGCAGAGTAGGTCCCACTCTTTCACCGGGTTTCACCATCACGGTTTTGCCACATTCCACAGCAGGAGGAGGCTTCCTTTCAAGCTCTTATGGGTATACTCACTCTCATGTGACCCTTATGAAGTCCAAGTCAAAAGTTTTGATCATTTGAAAAATAAAGGTGAACCTAAAGGTTTTGTTGTTTAGCATTGGAAAAATACAACAATATATTCAAAATAAAAATGAGTGGACGAAAATTTGTTTTGACTCAGTGCTTTTTATATATATTTATTTTTGAATAAAATATTTTTTTTCAATCTTCACATATATTTTTTGATATTCTGTGTATTTCTTCTTAACTTCGGTTGCAGATTTTATGTTTTCAGATTCAAATCTTTTCACTTTCAGATCTTTTCTTCGCGTTTATTTTTTCTTTTCTCATTCAGACTTTTGACCTTGATGTGGCATAGGGGGCGGGGCATCAACTGGGAGGGGCGTTTGAAAGCCTCTTTTTTTAATGTCAAAATATGTTGAAAATAGTTAAAACAAATTAACAATGAAAATGTTTGGGGCAAAAAGATCAAAATATACAATATAGGTAAAAAATATATACATTAATATAGGTAAAAAATATATACATTACATGAATTTGGCCAAAGACAATTGTGGAAAAGACACTCAAAATATATTGAGTCAAAAGATGTCATGAAAAAAAAAGACAAATTATTTGGGTTGAAAATGTAATATTTATCTTATTATATAATATGAAAGCCTTCTTCCCCCTCTCTGCCCCCTGCCCCCCCCCCCCTCTCTCCTCCATCCAGGGTGGCGGCTCTGGGCCTGGCGGCGGGCGTCCTGTTGGTTCTGCTGCTCTTCTGCCTCTACCGCGTTCTTTGCCCACGGAACTATGGCCAGAACGGCGTCATTCACGGCCGCCGGCGCCGCGGTGACCTGCCCTGCGACGATTACGGCTACTCGCCGCCCGTCAGCGAGATCTCTCCGCTGCTGCTGAGGGGCCACAGCATGGTGAGAGGGGCCCCGAAAGCACGCCGATTACCCCTGAAGTCCACCGCGTTAATGCGAACCAGGAATCTGCAGACGTCACAGATAAAAGACGCTTCAGTGGTTTCTTTTCCTCAGTGGTGCCGTTTTCTGTACATTCACGAGTAATACACAAACTTCTAGTTAATTCACACAAAAGCAGCCGTTATTATTTAACTATTATATAACTATTTGTAATATTAGAAGCACCTAAACAAGGGAATGCTCATCACTGAAGCCGGCTGATAATGTGGATTCTTCTTCCAATCCGCTTAGAAGAAACCAACTTCTGTGATGCTTATGGACACCTACTTGCCCCACAGTGTGGAGATGATGATTTTTTTTTTTCTCCGGTATTTCTGTCTCTCAGGACATCGAGTGTTTGGCCAGTGACGGGATGCTGCTGGCCAGCTGTTGCCTGGCCGGACAGATCCGGGTTTGGGACACTCAGACCGGCGACTGTTTGACTGTCATCCCGAATGAAGGGTAAGCGCGTCGCGCTGTCGATGTTGTTTTGAGGTGAACGGAGAAAGTTACTTAGCTCAGTAGCTTCCTACCTTGAAACATGTTTCTGCGCGCCGTCCGACATATAAACCTCTCAACCTCCGCCAATGATATCAGCCAGATTGATTTATCCCGGCACGTTCCGACGGTGCCCCGCGGCTAACTGCGCCGGTTAACTCTCCTCAGGCTCCGACGGAGCAGCAGCGGTGGCTGCTGGGAGCCGCGTGAGGGCTGGGATGGTGTGGGCGGAGCCTTGGAGCCGGAGTGCTTCGGCCCCTCCCTTGGCTGCGACGGACCGTCGGAGGAAGAGGTCTACCCGCTGAGGCGCCGCGCCGCCCCCGCCTGGCCGACTCTGTTTGGCGACCAGCCCGATCTCACCCCGCTCATCGACACCAACTTCGCCTCCCAGCCCCCCTCCCACCTCTGCACCCCGCCCAGGCACGGCTTCGACTTCGGAGGTCTGGTGGAGCGCGCCTACATGGAGCACGAGCGCCCTTCGCCGTCCGCCTACCCCTCTCCTTCCTCCGCATCCTCTTCGCCGCCCACGGGGGCGTCGCTCCAGAGGAGACCCAGCACAGGGGACGTAGCCGTCTTCTCGACCCAAGAAAGAGCCTCGGCGGCGGGGACGCAGGCAGGCGCAGATGGGGAAAGCTCCGTCTGGGCCATGGAGCTCAGAGGGAATCTGATAGCTGCTGGGAGGAGCAGCGGTAAACTGGAGGTGGGGGAAATACATTGTATTTATTCATGTTATACATTTTCTTTGTTTTTTCATGATGATGAGCAATGATGATGATAGATTTGGCGAGAGTTTACTTGGTTAGACATTTATGAATTTTGAGTTTGTGGCACCTCCGTAGATCTTGTGATCTGACATGAAGGTTCTCATTATTGACCAATAATAAAATGTATCAGCTACAAAGACTTTTTAAAAAAAATGCATAATGTTGAAAACTATCTGGTATCATAAGTCGCCATGCGTCTGAAATCTCTACCTCCTCTTTTGATCTGTATAGAACATGAATGAACACAATGCTACACAACGTGATGAAAATGTTTCAACCTAATTTTTGGTAGTTGTGGGACGCGGTCGAAGGGTCGTTACGTTGCATTAATGAAGACGGCGGTTCTGGGATCACAGCTCTCGCCTTCCTCAACAACAGGTGAAAGAAGCAAATATACTCGCATCTTTTATAGATATATCTATATATTTACGCCATGCACTACTTATCTGAGTTTTACACACTTCTGTTACTGCAGTGATGCATACTTAGTCCTTCACTGCCCTTCTAATACAGCTGGAATTTGTCCTTTTTTTCCATTTAAACTTAAATCGTGGGCAGATCTCAAACTTTGCACCTTTTTAAAGTGACTCTAAATTACCCTCCGTGTTTTCCCTCCCCAGAATCGTGGCAGCTCGCCTGAACGGGTCTCTGGATTTCTTCACTGTTGAAATAAACAAACCTCCGGGTCTTCTGCAGTACAGAGGTGGGACTCGAGACCTGTTTCGTTTACATCGTTGTTTTTCATTTGTCATCAGTACAAACCTCCTTTGTGTCTCGTGTCTGTGAATTCTTACCGCTTGTATTTTTGGATTCAAATTGAATTTGCAATGTGGCTTTAATTACCTGAATATGACATGTAAGCGTTGATGTACGGACGAGCACAGCGGAAACATTTTAGCAGAAACATTCTCTGGTTGCAACTTCCCCAATTTTTTAATTTTACATAATAATATTTACATTACTGATATGAAATAAAGTCACTGAATATCATTGGGTCCTTCGGCACTGGGAAGCCGTGATGGACAGAAACATTTTACTTGTGTATTGAAGATTTAATGAAAATGAATCCTTTGTTGCAGAAATGTTGCAAAAACATGCAGCTAGAAACCCTCTTGGGAACTGACATGTCATTATTGTGACATTTTTTGAGCCGTTATTTTTTTACATTGTTCCTAAATTTGATATTTTAAGGTTTTTGTAAAAAGAAAAAACAACAACATTGAAATTGAAATTGAGTCATTAAGTAATGAACGGATTAACGATTAGATAATAGATACGTATAGCGGATTCCTCTAAATTAGTGATGAGATAGGAAGAAGAAATGGCCGATAAAGGTTGTTCATCTCCTCCTCCAGGTGCCCCCGGGCGAGGAAGCATGCCCCCCTCCCCCTGTTACAGCAGCGAAGATGTGATCAGCTGCCAGCTGACCCGCTCGGTCCAGTGCGCTCACCAGAAGCCCATCACAGTGCTGCGGGCGGCCGCCGGGCGGGTCGTCACCGGCAGCCAGGACCACACCGTCCGGGTAAGTCGCAGATGTCACCGGTTCAACAACTACTACAAATGACGGTTGTGTTTGCGTCGTAGATTCTCACCGTGTGGTTTAATTCATCAGGTTTATCGCCTGGAGGACTCGTGTTGCCTCTTCACGCTGCAGGGTCACTCTGGAGGGATCACAGCCATCTACATAGACCAGGTGAGTGATGGAGCCGCTTCTAAGGCGACGTTACAAACTATGCATGCGTTATCACATTTTTTTGACATACTAGTGCAGTAGGTTTGTTGGCATGCTATACTATGTTGGGTTTTTCAACCAATTTTTGGGATATCCTTTTACATATTTCAGTGTTTTTTTTATACTGTTGTACATATTATTCTATGACTCCAAAGACATTTCTCAACTTGCTACATTATGAATTTTCCAATGAAATTTGATGCTGTCCTGTGACATTTTCTGTAACTAGTTTTATTACCATTTTTTCTTCAGAGCATACTTTTTGACTTTTGTCCACAATATTATTTGACATTCTGTACTACAACGAATATCGTCAGAACATTCTATTCGATGAAAGGACGAGTTGGTGCATTGTACTGTGAAATGTAATAGAATACACGTCATAGAATTGTGTGTCAAAAAAAGTCAAAGAATGTCCTCTGACATCTGGTTCCTTCAGACGATGGTTCTGGCGAGTGGCGGTCAAGACGGCGCCATCTGCTTGTGGGACGTCCTGACGGGGAGTCGCGTCAGCCATGTTTACGGTCACCGTGGCGACGTGACGTCGCTCGTCTGCACCACGTCTTGCGTCATCAGCTCCGGCCTCGATGACCTCATCTGTATCTGGGACCGCAGCACTGGGATCAAGCTCTATTCCATACAGCAGGTACAGTGTACAGCAGGTTCTCTCAGGCTTGTGAATATATATATATATATATATATATATATATATATAATATATATATATATTTTTTTTTTTAAAGCCAACCTTCTATTTCCCACTCACACTTGTTTTTTTGCTCTACTTGTTGCCTCGCCCTCTGCTCACCAGGAGGCGGGTTGCGGAGCCAGTCTGGGAGTGATCTCAGAGTCTCTCCTGGTGACGGGGGGGCAGGGCTGCGTCTCCTTCTGGGACCTGAACTTCGGCGACCTGCTGCAGACGGTCTACCTGGGCCAGAGCAGCGACGGCCAGGGCGTCCGGCAGCTGCTCGTCCTCGACAACGCCGCCATCATCTGTGACTTTGGCAGCGAGCTCAGCCTGGTGTACGTTCCCTCGGTGCTGGAAAAACTAGACTGAGGGGCGATGGACGGACGGACAGCGGTTGTTGTCACTTTGACTTTCTGTTGTCTCAGTCACCCACAGACCAGACCAGAGCGGTTTCCTCGTGCATATGAAACTTGAGAGAAAAGGAGCTGAGGACTGATTGTACAACGTGCTGCGTTTTATCGGAGGACGTGACGGTGACAAACCTTTGAAACCTAAACGTTGACATTTACGAGGGTCGTGAGGTTCAAGTAAAGCTGGATGTTTCTTACTGAGAGAGGATCCACCGTTAGCTTACTTTTATTTTTTTTTAAATGTGTGTGTTTGTCTTGTGGCTCTGCCCTCTATGCTGCTTATACGGGTGGGGCTTCCCTGTGACCCCCACCTGCCCAGAGAGGAAGATATTTCTTTTTCTTTTTTTGTGAATATTCCTGCTGCCTCTTTCGCTAGAAAAGTGAAGTGCAGCTACAGTGAGCTCTACTGGTCTACGACCTGTCGGAATAAGCTGCGCCGTAATTGTTTGTTCGTTTGTTTGTGTGTGTGTGTGTGTTGGGAGATGATTGAATCTACGCCCTTTTTAAGGCATAACACAAACGGATTGGTTACGTGTGTGTATGAGTGATGATTACTGTATAAAGTAAAACCTCCATAGGGGGCTGTTTTTATATGTATAAATCTATTATTTATTAGCGACATTTTTTAATAACGGTTGTTTTATGAATGGCTAATCCCGGCTTTTAAACAAGACTAAAACAATGAAAGGTGGTGATTGTCTGTTGGACGGGGGGGTTATGACACAGTTATTTGTGATATTGAACTGGAAACACTGAAGTGTTTGATGTTGTTGTTGGGGTTTTGGAGGCTGTAGCAGAAGAAGTTCCTCCGTTTATTCCCCCCTCCCCCCCCCCCCCCCCCCCCCCCACTCGCCGACCTCTGATTCAGGGGTCACTGATGCTGTACAAGGGGCCCCTGCGTGCTACGCCTCCATCAGGCTACCTGCATTTTCTAAACTGCTTGAATTTTGGATGAGAATACTTTTTTTTGTTTTTTTGTTCTGCACGCGCCGTCATTAGCTGACGTCATGTTTACATTGGCTGTCGTATTTTTTAAATAATTTTTTCCCTTTTTAGAGATTTTTATTTTGACTTGCCGCTTAAGGTCGCTGGTTCAACCAGTCGTGGATTTTCATGTCGGCATCGAATGACAAAGCCGCCGCCCAGTGCGCTGGTGTGTCGTTTATCTTTCAACCTGTGCCGCTCTTCCTGCAGCCACTCAGTGAAACAGGAGACGGTGAGTATGCTAATAACAATATATGTGTGTCTGAGCTTTTTCTAGTTAAAAAGCCAACCTCCTTTGTAACCCCAGTCGGTACTTTTAACTTTTATCTCTGAAGGGCTGCTGAAAGAATGTAATACATCAGGTTTTGGACTCTTTTCCCCCCCAACACAATCATACAGGACGTGTTTCCTCACCATTATCCATAATCTGCATCTGCGCTGACCGAATGTAGTGAAGAACAAATCCATAAAAAAACAATGACTACATATTCTTTACACTATTTGAATGCACTACTAACCCGAGTAAATCAGCCAGCCGCTAACATAGCAACCTGAGAGCGCACTAATTCATATTGTCTAGTCTTAATCTTTACAAAAATAGTGAATTATCATTTTTACATCATTCGATGGGTATGAGAGGTATTGATTCTCATCTAAAGCAAATTCAAATATCTCCCACCATGTTGAACGGTTCTTTTTATTGGGAGCAGTGAAGGCTGTTTACGCAATTTCATTTGAATCTTTATAGCTGTTTTGAATGTTTTGGTTCATCACATTCAGCGACTCTGCCTTTGTCAGTTTGTGAATCTGCTCAATTTGTTTTCAGTAAACGCTGTTTGTTTCTGCTGCTTCATACTGTTTTCTCCATCCGGTTGCTTTCATTCATCCATATCAAAAGTCTGTGGATGCAGCCGTGATCTTCTTTCGGCCTTTGAGGAAAAAGAAAAAGGAACATTTCCTGCGTCGGGATTCTGACAACAGCAGCAGATATTGAACTTTTATTTACAAGTAGAAATCCGATTCTGTATCATCAAATTCTCTGTTCTGGAATATCCGAGCTGATGTCTTTGAACCCCCCGGTCTGCTCCTTGATCCTCGTCCCCTCATCGACTGGCATCGCACTACGCAGGCTGTAGTAGTGGAGGTAACTTATTTACTAGTTTGTAACATACAAATTAAAAAAAAAAGCAAGACTTTGTACTAATTTTTCAATAAAGAGGCTTTGATACCACAACACTTGTATGCGTATTGGATTTATTGAATAATGAAAAGGGCCATTCCTTTATTGTAACGCAGCTTTTAAAACCAGGAAAAGACTGAATGTGTGTACTGAACTACTATACTGAATGACAATTGCCAAAACTGGCCAAACATTGGTCACCTGTTTACTTGTCTGTTTAATATTGCATCATTTTTTTCACCTTCGATCTGGACAAAAGAAAAAAAACTGAATTACAGTTGAGAAACTTCTGTGAAAGAACAACAGGAGAATTGTATCAGAACAATGTACTGAACACATTTGTAGATTATATGAGTTAAAGAAAGTTGTGTTCAGCCATCACCTCTTGGACTGACTATCAGAAGTTAATGCTTTAACTAAAGCAGAAAAAAGTTAAGAAGCCCAAGATTTAATTCCATGTTTCATTAGGAAATGTTTTGCGTCTTCGCTGCAATGATCCCTTCCAGTTTGTTCTGAACAGGAAGACAAGCAGAAAGACAATTATAACAATCTGACGGCGTCACGACTTTGCTGCTATATATTTATACTGTATATATTGAAAAGAAACCTCACCTTGAACTGCTCATTTGCTTTGGTGAGGACCTGAATCTTTTCGGCGTGCTTCTCGTTCTCCATTCGTTGCTGTTCGTTTTCTCTCTTTTCAATAGTTTCATTGTCGGCTGTCAAATCGCTCAGTTGCTTCTTTAGGTCTCGGTTCTCCTCCTCCAGATCAGAAATCTAGAAATGAGAAATAAAGACACTTGGAAGTCACTTAAGCAAAGACTAACAAACAGCAAAAGGCCATAAAATCAACAGGGAGACTCAACAAAGCTCGACAACAATAAAACCGATCTATACGATAGAAATGAACCAAAAATAACAAATTTTGTAAACTAAATTGGTAAAATCATCATAAAAAAACAGCGGCAAAGCCTCTGAATGTCCTTACAGTTTTCTCCTCGTCAGCCTTGCCCAGCTCGGCCTGCAACGCTTTCCTGGTTCCAAAAGCCATGCTGCCCTCATTCAGGGCCTGGTACACACCAAAGGTCATCTGAATCTGATCCCTGACCATCAGCAGCAACGCCCCCCTCTCAGCGCACTCGATGGTCACCTGTCTGATCAGCTCATCTGAAAGAAGCGGAACAATCAGGAATGTGGAGACATGGTTCAAAGGTCCATTTAGCCCGATAGTTTACAAATCTAACTATGCGCCTCCTTTATCTCTTTATGCGTGTAAATCGGTAAATTGTTGGCCTGTCGTTGCTTCCCCACAGTGATCCTGCCCACCGAAGCACTGGAAGGAGAGCGCCGTGCGCTGAGGACAGATTCCTGTTCCTCTGGCCTGCGATTGCTGCAGCCTCCTGTCCAGAAGCTCCTCCAGTTGAATGATGTCCGCTCTGGTGAAAGGTGCGCTGGACACCTGCTGCACCCACAGCTGATTCCCCTCCATCCATTCCCTGTGATGACAGAGGCCCGGATCAATGAGAGTGGTGGTGGTTTGCACTTGTTGAATGATGTTTTGTTGATAGTAGGGGCTAGTTATACCTGGGCGGAAAGATGCGGTTGAGGATCTCCTGAATGCCTTGCCCGGGGGCATTGGCAGCTTCTGATGTGGGCTGAGGGGATGGAGCAGGGTGGGTGTTCATTAGCAGTTTACAGACGTATCTCCTTTTCTAAGAATGGTCTATTTTTGGCTTAACGTAAATTCAAAGTTTCCCAGCCCCGCATTACCGCTTCTCCTTTGTGCCTTTGCCATCGTGGAAACTCACCTTTCGTGATTTCATGTCGGTTTTGTTGACCAAAACTGGGGGGTCGTATTTCACGAGAGTTTCGGATGGTGTAGCCATTGTGTGAACTATTGACAGAAGCGTGTGTGTATGCTTCAGTTAACGCTACAGAAATCTCGATGCGTTGCTAACGGAACGTGCGTGCGCTCTGTTTGAGTTGTCATGGCAACGGCGTCCCGGCATAGCGTTCGTATGTGTCCGCGCAGCGAACAAACTAACTAAGCTAAAGCTTTTTTATATTTACGGGAGTTTAAAAACCAAATGTTCTTTTAAAAAACGATTTTGTACGTATTAATAACACTTGTTTAAATTGAAATCAAATTAACGAAAGACTCATCAATACGGAACCAACGTGAACGGTTTGTTGCGTACCGCACACACATTCTGAGCGTACATACGAAAGCGGAAGTGTGTAAAAAGTTGGCTCGCAACACAACATGCTCGTTGCCAGACAATTCAATCTCGCAGACTGAAACAGTTAACGTCCGTTCTGTGTTTTTTGGATCACAGCGCTCAATAAAAAGTTCAGTGTTTCATCCGCGTCCCAGCTGTAGACGTTAAAGGGCCGTAAACATTAGAGATGCGCTGTAATGATATTGCCTTTTGTTGTTGCGTTTGTAGTGCAGGGGAAGGTAGTTGATGTTGTTATTGTGAGATAGATGCATATTCAACCTGTGATATTATCATAGTTTATTATTCTTGTCTTTACTATAAGAACTTTCTACTCTTACGTGTGTAGTGTCTAACGACCAGCAGGTGTCGCCACTAGGGGGCGTCCGTTCATCGCATTCAAGAAGGCCCATGAAATGCCCAGTGTGTGATGGCTTGAAATGCTGGGCATTAGAACGGGAACGAGTTAAAATTACCTACAGAGACACACAACCATTCACACGTCTACGGGCAATTTAAAGTCCCCAATTAACCTGATCCCCAGAGCATGTCTTTGGACTGTGGGAGGAAGCCGGAATACCCGGAGAGAACCAACGCAGACATGGGGAGAACATGCCGACTCCACACAGAAAGGCCACTGGGTGGAATCGAAACCAGGACCGTCTTGCTGTGAGGCAACAGTGCTAACCACCGTGCCGCCCAGTCAAAATAACCCGAATGACAAAATTAACTATTAATAAATGAGCAATTATCAATATATTTGTCTGTCTGAACAGAACTGTCTGTTACGCCCTCACATGTTCACCGTTTTTAACGTCACGTTGCAATGACATTGATAATTTCCTCGGGAAAAGTCAGCATCTAACGCTGACTTACAGTAAGGGTTCATGAAGTGCTCAAAATGTCTTCCAGAGAGCCTCAAGCAAGTCTGTGTGGAGCATTGCAAAGGCCCCCTAATGAAAACTATTATTTGAACTACATTTAAAGAGATATTCCTATTGTTATGACACACAGTGTTGGAACTGTCAGTGTCAGTAATGGATTAAAGGCTGTTGTTCTGTAGGAAATTTGATAGTGCCATCATTAGCATTTGCCTAACATTGGATAATGTGACATTTATGGATATGCGTGTTTATTTTAGTATTAATGTTTGGTTTGGACGTTATTAAAGAAGAAGAAATTAAAGTTTATTTGACACACACTGACAGCAGAGTATCATGCGTTGCTGTTCAGAATCAGATCAGCCGACATCAGATCCGAAACAATTTGTTGCCACGTTTGTGGCAAATAGAGGAATTTGACTTGGTGAATTGGTGCAATATAAGAATGTTCCAGCAGTGTTGTGTGTATTTACAGACTTCCCCTTTTTATGTCAGTCTGTTCGGAAGTAGAACAAATCTAGGCCACATTTCCATTCATGTACTGTGAATAAAGGAAGTTTGTTGGAGGTGGACGTGGCAGACGGTCACCGGGGGAGTGAATGCACCGGAGGCAGTGAGAGGGCCTTCTGTTAAAAGCTCTCCTAGTGCTCGTGGGGTCTCTCTCTCTCGCCCTACTGGACAATTGGAGTTTTGGTTTGCGACACCTGTAATGTATTGAATCAAGATTCAAATCAAATGTCTCACAATTTGTCTCCACAACCCTGTTAAATATCTTGTTTTGGAACACAGTTTACATCCCTTGTACAAATAGATCAGGCTCAGTAGCCTAATTATAGACTCTTACATTTAAGCTTGAATTCATTTATTTAATTCAAATATGCTAGATTACTGTGTACGCCATTAGCAATGGCAAATGTTATGTAAAAAAGATACACAAAATAACTTCTTTTAAAAATGAGTTTTATTCAAGGTATAATGAGCATTCCATGCAAACAACATTTGAATCAGCATGAGGGGTCTGCAGAGATCAGTCTCCTAGAGCTCAACTACAGTGCATAGTGGCAGGACTACAGTGACCTTTTCTTTGGTCTTACTTAAATGCACAGAGGATGTATTAACCACACATCTTCTAGAAATGCGCTCAACTGGCAGAAATGATGCTGGGTACGACGTATCTGTTCCCTGCAAGCCTCAAAATTCTATTGGCTTTCCATAAAAATGTCTGTCCGGGTGGGAATGAAGCCAGGAAACTTGTGCAAGAACATGTTTAAATGCCGTACCCTTTGACACAACATTAACAACTATAAACTGCTTTATAATGGCTGGTCGTAGTTCTGCTAGAGGGTCAAGGCCGGGTTCCTCAAAACTGTTAGTGTTTCCACACCACTTAGCATGAACACATGCTGACCTTTATGCTCTGCATCTATCGATTGAGTAAGTTACATTCATATGTTACCCGTTTACATGTCATGGCAAAACATTCAACCTCAGTGACACAAGGGTACATCTGATGATACATTGTCAACATTGCATGTCTGTCAGACTCAAGATTGTCTGGTGGAATGGAGAAAGAGGCACCACTGTACAGTTTTCTAGGGAAAGTCGTTCTGCTGACAAAAAAACACTGCTTTACATAAAGCATATCAGCTGTTTCATTGCACGACAAAGTCCCAACCATTTGTCTTCCTAAAATACTGGTCCTTCTGTATAACAATAACCTCGTATGTGATTGGAGGACCCTTAGACTCCTCGTCTAATCACGTGTGAGGTCATAGGCATGACTCAGACAGCAGTACTTGCAAGACGAGCATACAAACAGACATGTGTGTGTGACTATATTCAGAAGAACTGTATCTCCAGTTCCTTTGTTTGGTTTTTGCTGGTTGGTGAATAATGGCTGGACGACGTCTCGCGTTCAACTCGCCTTCAACTCCTCTCCGCGGTCACCAACTTTCGGCCAGTCCGCAGACAGACGAGAAGAAGCTGCTGAATGCTCTCAGTGGATCGTCTCGTCAACTCCAACAACAAACTGCCGATATCAACGAGCGGTTCGGGACTCTCCAGGTTTCTGTCCATGGAGGAGAGGAACCGACTCAAAGAAGAGGAGACGGGCGCACAATCCCACAATAGCGGTAAGAATACGTTCGATGACTGCTAGCTAAGCTAAAAGTAGCGTAGCCTCAAGCTAAGCTACGAGTAGCCTAGTAGCCTTACAAGTGAGCAGAAACAGCTTTATTAAAGTGTATTTTCTTTGCCGTGTCGTTTACAGGAAGCGGTGCGCCGTCTTCACAACTCCGAGACGAATTACAGGCGCCACGAACCGGAGCAAGGGTCAGATTGAAAGAATATGCTTTCATTCTGCGGTATAAGGAAATATATACGTATAGATACCATAGAATGGATACCGAACATAACTGTACATTTTGTTTTCACAGACTAATCTCGCCTCATAATGAGGCGGTGACCTCGTATTTGCTCCGGGAAAAGTCCAGATTTAGACGACGTCATTGTGTGTAAGTAACGCCGTTTACTGTTTCTCCTTCCTTGTTAAATGTTACTGTGACTTGTGTTTGATTTTTTTATTCATACCACACTCATTTAATTGTTTTCCAGCCGCCTGTGAGACGTATTTTGAGACTCAAGCGAAGGAAGCTGCGAAGGATTCAGCGCGGAGTCGAGCGAGAAGAGGGTCAGCGTTTATTTGCTGACTTTTTTCAGGTGCATTGATCGATGTGTTGTGTCCATACGCATCGTACAGTACTGATTCATTGTTGTTTTTACAGCTGCTGGAATCGAGACAAAGTGTGCTGGCTGATGACGAGGTGGAACTCTGGAAATCCGCCACCGTAGAGCTCACATCGGACGGAGAGGATGGCGTTGTTGGCGGGGTCTCGGGGTGGATTGTACGGTCGCCGCCATTTCTGAGTGTAGTCCCGGTTAGAGGCGACTCCGAAATACAGAGCCCCGCACACTAGGCGCCTGCACAACAGACCTGCCTCGGAAAACACGGCGCCAGTGACGGTCTACAACCCCAAGGAGGCAAACGGACAGTTTACTGAGCTGTAGTTTTTAAACCGCCGTTACCCAATTGTGGGCAGATCCTCACTTTGTATGTAGTTGTTTGTGTGTTGTTAATAAAGCTCTTTCTTTGCATACACATGTGGCAAATGTTTATTTTCTCTGACAGAGGACTCTGACAGAGGACCTCTGTCAGAGGACTTATAGCAGTTATAGCAGGACTGCTAGAATTCTGACAGAGGACTGCTATGTGGACGATGTTCTAACATCGCATAATGATCTCCAAACTCTGGTTAGGATGACCGAAGGAGTGGAAGAAATCCTAAGAGCAGGTGGCTTCTCCCTCAAGCCCTGGGCCCTGACAGGCCAAATGGGAGGAGTGAGAAACCCACTGACCCCAGCAATGTCAGTTCAACAGAGCCCAAGACCCAACCAGATGCGGGACGAGGAGAATAAGGCATTGGGATTGGGATATGAACCCGAATCTGACAAACTCTGTGTGCTGACGTCTGGATCGCCTGGTTGTCCAGGAAGAGGAAAAAACAGGACTCTTGCTCTGCGGAGGGAGAATCCAATGCTGGGATGAAGATCGAGTGACTGTACCGCTGATCCCATGCCAGTCGTGGCTTGCAACCCTACTGGCCAGGGAGGCACATGAAGAAAACCATGAAGGTGTTGCCTCTACCCTTCTACGGACAAGGAGGAAAGCCTGGATCATGCAGGGACGAAGAACAGTTAAAAAGGGCGCTAAACAACTGTGTCACCTGCAGAAAGAAACGAGCAAAGACGTGCCAGCAAGTAATGAGTGATCTCCCTCAAGAGCGTACCAGTAGAGCAAGCCCGTTCGAAAATGCGACCCTCAACCTTTTTGGCCCCTTCGAG